TTATGGAGATGAATCTTTCATGTTGAGTTCGCTTGCTCATGGGATTTAAATATATTGTACTTGTAAATAGTTCTATGATAATATATATCATTTGTTGAATGAATATCTACAAACATGGATTTTATAACAATATGTTCTGCTCTCTTTGCACTTGCTTTAGTTGAACCATTCCATTCACATTCGATCGATAATTCATCTACCCAGAGTTAAAACGTTTCACACTGTCTTGTATTCGATCTGTCTTCATGACCGAAGCATCAGGATGAACCAAAAGAAATATTTACACACCACCGTGGCGTATTGTTGCTGTTTCTCACGCAAAATTTCTGTCACAGAGATCGTGATGAAGATGTTAACCTCTAAGGGGAGACAAGCAATGTCCTTAATGTTTCTCGTACAATACACAGAGTGTGTGGGCTTTGGGAGGCCTCGCCAATCAGAGTGTTTGGGCTTTGGGAGGCCTCGCCAATCAGAGTGTTTGGGCTTTGGGAGGCCTCGCCAATCAGAGTGTTTGGGCTTTGGGAGGCCTCGCCAATCAGAGTGTTTGGGCTTTGGGAGGCCTCGCCAATCAGAGTGTTTGGGCTTTGGGAGGCCTCGCCAATCAGAGTGTTTGGGCTTTGGGAGGCCTCGCCAATCAGAGCGTTTCATTGCATTTAAAGTGAAAGGACGATAATGGTGGAGAGTGTACAGAGACCGTTGCTTATGTATCGGGATCTTGTTAATAGCATTCTCAAGTGAAAGAAGACTATATAATGGAATTGGAAGTATAATAGGAATTGAAATGTGTGTGATGTGATTAGAAAAATATCTTCATATATCCGTGAAACGTATTTATTATTGTGGATATTGCGAATGTCGATGTTAAAATGAGTCACTGGTTGAACCACATCGTCTCGAGTATTATTTTGGGACTAAATAGAACAAGTACGGTTTCCTAAACAGTGCTGTAGAAAACTGTCTCATCGAGGGAACACCTTTTACACTTGGTTACAATACAAATAGGTTTGGTCGTGAGGTGCTTTATAACTTTGCAAGAATAAAGACCTTTCGGTCGGGACAAGGTTTCTACTACGCGACTAGTTCGCTAAATGGCAGGGAGGAAACGGTGGCCTTGGAGCAGCGTTCTCAAGGCCGCATAGCTCAAATCATCGGCATGGGTTGTTTTTTTTAACCGCCACCCAAGCCTCATATCCGTTAACGGCAACCTGTAATCATGATGTCACGTTCCTCCTCCCGTTGCGTTGGGAGTCATGCGGGTTGGCCAGGGCTTTTAGCTTCGGGTGGACAGGTCCACCCTGCTAGTCCACCACGAAGAGGCTAGTTCCATATGGACGCCCCCCAAGTTTACTATTCAAATTTTCTCCCATTGCTTGCGTGTTTCAGAGTATCATTTTAATTCTAACAAAATATATTTTAGAAATCAGCTTGAAAAAGACAAACATCATGGCCCAAGACACTTGACCTCCACCTAACATTAAAATCGATAATGAAAACTTGGAGGTTGTGGACAGCTTCACCTACTTGGGGTCCAAGGTCTCCATTGAAGAAGAAATTAACAGCAGAATCGGCAAGGCAGCTGCCACAATGGCTAAACTAAATAGACGGGTCTGGCAAAACACTAAGCTAACGGAGAAAACCAAACTGTGCGTCTATCGAGCTTGTGTCATCAGTACACTACTACACGGGAGCGAGACATGGACCACCTAAACATCCCAAGAGCGCAAGCTTAATAGCTTCCATATGAGATGCCTGCGTCGCATCCTTGGTATTACATAGCAAGAAAAAGTGACTAATAGTGAGGTTCTCATGCGTGCGAATACCCAAAGCATGTTCACAAACCTTAGTGAAAGACGCCTGAGATGGCTAGGTCATGTTAAAAGAATGAGTCCCGGCCGCATTCCGAAAGACCTCCTATATGGTGAACTTGCTTCGGGAAAGAGGAAAACAGGTCGCCCACGTCTGCGATTTAAAGATGTCTGTCAAAGGGACATGAAAGCAGCCAAAATACATGCAAGTGACTGGGAGTGTAAGGCAGAAGACCGATCTACGTGGCGCACAGTTGTCAAAGAGGGCGTCATGGTAGCCGACGAGCGAAGAATGGAAGAGGCTGCAGACAGAAGAGCTAGGAGAAAGGCCAAAACATTTAGAAGCACGGAACTCGTGTGTAAAAACTGTAGTAAAGACTGTCACTCAAGGATAGGACTCCACAGCCACTCGAGAAAATGCAATCCAACCCAACGGTGATGCACCATCGTCTCACAAGACGGAAGGATGCCGATATATATATATATATATTAGAAAAATATTTATATACATTGTGATATAGCTCTACAAACAGTAGCCACTACCCTGGTCTAAACCATTAGTACTAAGGGTGTTTTGTTTCAACTCCTATGATTGAAAATAGATGAATTTTTTCCCACTTTTTAAAATAAAGAAGGGGCAGGAGTGACTACAGCGAATAATGAACAATTTTTAAAATGCAAATTTTAGTTAAATGTGTTACCAGTTGGGGGTGCTCTTTGATGTCGAAGCCGCCCATGAATATTAAAAAAAATTATTTTTTTTGACTTTAGCTATTTTTTTTTTTTGGTTGTGTGCAGTTACCTAAATGCTAATAGTGCTGATTGTTTGGTGTTCATGAATCTTCCAGCCAGTCATATAATTCGGCCGGCAGATAAGCTATCAGGGACGCTATGAAGCCAAGGAAAGTGAAGCGGAGATTATTCTCTGCTTATAATTTGTCAGGTCCAAAAGTTGACGATGGACAATCAGATCAGTTTCTGTTTGNATATATATATATATATATATATATATATATATATATATATATATATATATATATATATACATATATATATTGTAATAATAAATTAAAATTGCAAAATTTTATAAAACAAAATTCAAGCTATAAAAAAAGCCTGTGACAATAACTTATCCAAATATCCCTATGAACATTGAAATACTGAAGAATGTTGTAAAAGAAGCGTATCCGGAAATTTGATCGAAAGAAATTTCGTAAATTGATCGACGGTAATTTGATCGAACGGAAATTTGGTCGAATCTTTTTTTCTTTTGTTTTTACGTTAAAATTTCGCTTCAAAATTCTTTTTGAGCGCATTATTTTGTTTTACTGTATGGTATAGTACGTTTAAAAAGAAATTTGATGAAAATTTTAACGTTTGAACCGAAAAAAAGATTCGACCAAATTTCCGTTTGATCAAATTATCGTCGATCAATTTACCGTCGACCAAATTTCTTTCGATCAAATTTCCGGTAACCGAAAGATAAGCTGTGATCACTTGAAATTTCCGTAAAAGCACTGGTTTTCCGCACAAGTTATTCAATTACGATTTTCGAATCAAGATAAATCGATTAACTTAGTTATTATCCTGTAACGTTGTGATGGAAGGGGGCAGAATTTTTTGTTGATATTATCACATTTTCTAAAAACAAAATTGTTTAATGAAGATAGACAAATTTGGCCAGTAGTGCTCAAGGCTGCGTACATGAATGTGTTTTCCCAGAATATTGCGGCCATATTTTTTCGAAGAATAATTTGAGAAAAATTTGAAATTCTCCCCTGCCTGTCTAGCCAAACAAACGCTAGACTGATTTCAAATTTATTAAAGTCATTATCTATAACAGGCCTGCACAACAACATTCAGTAGCTCCCCTCCAACGACCTATATTCTTTAGGCCCGTGCAAGTCCTGTCCTATTTTCTTTTGGCCCGCACAAGTTTTTCATAATTCATTACGGCTAGTCTTACATTTTGAGTTGTGCAGGCCTGATCTATACTGTTATTTTTTTTCCATCTGGGAGCGCGTAAAGATCATGCAATACTTATGCTAGATCTAAACCCACATTTCAAGTTAAAATTGTCCTTGAATAAATCTTACTATGAATGAATACACGTTTTTTGCCCCTTCTTGTATATGATACTCATGTATTTGATTTCTGTGAGATTTGGAAATACAATTGTATAATCCATTTTATGTGCATACTTCATAGTTTCGTTAAAACTTATTAAGATGGCAAAGAATTTAAAACTAATCATTTTTTTTTATTTGGGGATCTTTTTGGCTCATAATTATTTAGGTAAATTAAGATATAAAAGAGTAGGCTTATCAATGTATATATAGCTACATTAGGGCTTAACGGGAGTGCACTTTCTTACAACCAGTCAGGATATTTTGAGAAAATACCATGTGGGTCCAAGTGTTACAAAAAAGTGTTAACTTCTCATTTTCAATAATATATGCCGTAAACAGTAGTTCTACAGACTCTTCTACAAACTAACTGCTGGCCTTTAAACCAGCGGTTCTCAACCAGGGGCCAGTTAAGACCATCGGAAAACACATAGAATATACAGTTGAAGTAGCAACGAAACGAATTTTGTGGTTAGGGGTCACCACAACATGAAGAACTGCATTAAAGGGTCGCGGCATTAGAAAGGTTGAGAGCCACTGATTCAAACAATAGGCCAGTAAACAATAATCATACAGACAGACCCACACCACACCCCTGGCTCCTTATTGATTTATATAAAAGTCGCCCCCCCCCCAAACCTAAAGAAAAAAATCAACCTGAACTGAGTTCAGCACGAAAGCTCGCTACGTGGCAGTTTTTCCCCCCACAAAGTTCTCTTAATATAATAATATAAAACATATGGAGTTGGGAGAGGGCATGTAGTAAAAAGAAAGCATGACACAGCAGAAGTTATATATTTATAACAGGTATATATTTGCTAGAGTATAAAAGATGGGAAAACCCCTTTTCGGCGGTCGGCATTCACCATGAAGTTACGAGGAGTAAACGTAACGTGGGTTTGATTGTCTTTTGTCGTTTTTTTTTTTAATATAAAAATTTCCTAAGCCAGGAAAAATATCTCACGCACGGAACATTTCTCCATATCGTCCGTTCAACTTTTTTAAATTTTGAATTATGCCCCCTGCGGTATTCATTATTAAACATGAGTGTGTGAATATTTTCTTTCTCAGTTGGTCAAACTTACTGTAACAGTTTGGGGAACGGCGTCCATCCTCATCCAGCCACGTGCACCCAATACATCGTGTGCACAAACGGTGGCACCCATGTCTACGATTGTCAGTCTGGACTTGGGTTCGACTCCGTCGTGAAAGCGTGTGTGGACATCGCATCCGCCAACTTGTGCCATATTACAACTACTGCGGTGCCAGTAACGGCAGGTAAGCTACATTTTTTTTAGGAATGCGTTTCAAGCTGTCGTTGGTGAAAGGGGCCGGCGAACTTGAATTCATCAGGGCCGTGGATATTGAAATGATCCGGTGAAACTACTAAATTACTTCTAGTTTCTGAGACATCTAAGTCGTCACAATATCGACCATGTTTTGTCACCAAACCAAACATAATAAAAAGATAATGACGTAGGTTTTAAGCTTGTTGATTGTTTAAACGCCTTTGATGTGTCTGTTGTGGTGACATCTTTTAAAAAGCCATTGGTTTCTTGGAGATTCGTTTTTTTAGACGTTCTGTAACTGTTTCGGAAAACGTTCGGGCTAGTTTCCTCCATTTTTCTGAATCAACTTATAGTTTTGGGTATTGTATATGTGTTAATATATTTTTATGACACCCCATTCTTGAAACCGTCAACTCTATAAAACAATTTCATTAATGCATCATTATTGCACTTTGCTTCCACGGGCATAGCATTGGGCGTTGGGATAAGACAGTTAATTGTTATTCTAGTTTATAATGAAGTTATTTATGCAGCTCGATACTGTTGGTCGCTTTTGTTCGCCAATAAAGTTTTCAACCTAACAAATTCACCTCAACTAAAAGTGTGAGCTTAGGCAATCCCACTGCTGCACTCGTCTTTGAGAAGGCGCACTTTCACATGTGTTTATTGTTTTAAGTATTACCCGTATGGCTTTTTGTACCAAACCTTATCATTTGACCTTTTTTCGTTTCTCTGTGAATCAAGAGTACTGTAGAGTGCACGGTCTGTCCAATGGACTCCATCGTCATCCACAGAAATGCAGCCAGTACATCCTGTGTACTAACGGCCAAACCCATGTTTATGGCTGTGCGGCTGGGCTTCTATTCGACACCAACGTGAACGCCTGCGTCGACAGCAGCATTGCCACGACGTGCAACAACCAAGTAGCTACTGTGGTCCCAACTTTTCCAGGTATAGTGGATCACGACATATTTATTGTCAAAATGACAAGCCAAAAATGTACATGCTGAGAATGTCGTGTAGAAAGAGGCAGATGTCGGATATTCTAAATCATTTATTGCTCTGAGATAATAATTATTTTTCTTTTAATCTTCCTTCGCAAACTTCTCTTTAAGTCAACCCTATATTTTTTTCCCCCCACGCAACTAGTGAAAACTCAAATAAAAATGTTAAGTCTGTGGGGGAAAAAAACAAAACTTTTGATGCCAATGGCACATTGCAAATTTGGTTAAAGAGATAATTGGGACATACCATAAACAAAATTACGTCAGGACAAAAGGCTTGATACATGTATATGTGTTTGTATTAATTATCACATGTAAACTTTCCGATCTTTATTTTCAATAGTTCTAGTTGAAAATGTTTTATTATCAGTATGCGAACTATAAATATGTACATTGTCATCAAGACACATGTCCATCTCATTGGAGAAATAAGAGGATCTTATCTTATATCACCCGGAGCCGTCACGTGGGCTTTGTAACCTCTGCGGTTGCAGGGGTGGGTGGTGGTCTCGGATATTTTAAGGTGATCAAAGTTGTGGTGTTAATTTTTTTCTTTTCAAACGATCAGGGGCATAAAACCGAAAAGCAGCAGGGACCGTCAAAAAGTCACGCAACGACTCTGGTATCACCTACATTGCCATAGCCTTTGGCTAATGGATAGTTTTCATGAGCTGAGTTTGGTGGTTATTAGGTCATGATTTTGTGTAAGAATTATTTATTTTATTTTTTATTTTTTGGTTGGGGATCAGCGCCTATTCAGAGACCGCCTCCTGTGAAACAAGCTCTAATTTACGCCTCTGCTCTTGACAAACTGACATAGTAGTAGAGAGTCCTGTATAATCACATGTGCATGTCCTCAAACGATGACAAATAATTGTGACTATCATTGTCTTCAACTTTTATCTACCTTGTTGGGTCCCCCCCCCCCACACCAATTTAAAAAAAAAAATCTTAATCATGTCATCTTGACCTAGAAGCCAGCAATTTCGTTTTACACAGATTAGAGTCCTTTATAATCACATGTGCTTGTCCTCAAACGATGACAAATAATTGTGACTATCATTGTCTTCAACTTTTTTCTACCTTGTTGGGTCCCCCCCCCCCCACACCAATTTAAAAAAAAAAATCTTAATCATGTCATCTTGACCTAGAAGCCAGCAATTTCGTGTTACAAAGATGACAAATCGTCGGCACCAATACTTTTATTTCTCCAGGTCTTGATACAGTCTGCGAGAGGTACAAACTGCCAGGGGGAACATACCCGGACCCAGCCAACTGTGACTCATTTGTTGAGTGCCTGGACGGCTTCACGCACATCATGAAATGCCCGGATGGTCTGATGTTTAACTTGCTTTCCAAAAGTTGCGACCACCACGGCAACGTCAACTGTTTAAATAATTACTCTTATTCTTTTTCACAATTTTCGGGATGAGGACATGACGTAGATCTAAGGGAATCGACCATGACCTTGCAGACTTTGAGGAAAGTGACGCCTTAGTGTAATAGATTACACTAGTATAAGGAACACATATTGTTTTTTTTTTAAGTTTTTTTTTTTTTAAATTAACATATGTAGTAGATTCACGTTACCTGATTTTATTATTGCCATTTTTGATTTATAGTTTGACAATGTTAAGTGTCTTTAAGTAATGTATAATAAATTATTCTATTATTTATAAACATGTTTTAAATTTTATTTGGCATAATCATAATTGATCTATCCTTGCCTTCCATCTTTTTCTCATCTCCTTAAAAAGATATATTTCGAGATAGACAGAGAAAATATTTGTTTAAGAGCAAAATGAGTTTAAAAAAAAAAAACGTGGAAGTGTATTGTAGGACCATACCGATGTGGTGTTTATTTTTTCCTCAATTCGCCAATTAAACAATTTTTCTCACACGTTGTCTTCGTTTCAGTGATCATCGATCTGGCTAAAAATTGTTCTGTTACTGACTTACTTCATTATCTATTCATGTTTCTATTTTATGCCATGAGTTGATCTACTTCACTCCTCATATTGAATGGTAGCTTATTACGACCTTAAAGTGCACTAATCTTAAAAATAAACAATTGGCTTTAAATGTTTAGTGTTTTTTACGTAAGCAATACAAATTATATGTTTATAAATACTCTATCTAATTGTAGAGCTTTGTATACAAAATCTGACCTGCCCACCTATGCATATTTTTCATGTTTTTACACGTTTTTTTTTTTATTTTGCACCCTTATTGCCAAAAATCCAATTTCAAACGTAAAATACGAATTTTAAACAAAAGGTTTAATAATTATCATGTTCGAAAGTAGTAAAAAGCTATTCGCTTCCTCTGTCTAACCACACCGAACGTTTTCAACACCAGATGAGTGCCACTTGGAGTGAAATAGGTTGTCCAACTTTTAGGCGACTATTCTGCTGTGCAGGGATTCTTAACCTTTTTTTTTTGTCCGTGGATCCACTTTGCCGTAAGATGAAGTTCATGGACAACTTGCCAGGCAGATGAAGGTTGCGAATCCCTTCTACGACAAAGAGGCCTATGGATAATAGGGTAGGAAACATCTGTGCAATATATACCAATTAAAAATTTGCGTTAATGCACATCGCATTGTCGTGCAATGGCCAGTGATTATAAAAAGGTCAATAATTGCTGGTTCCAAACTGTATCAGAATTAGGCTTGCTTTAATTGTTCTAAAAAAGACTTTACCTGCTGATTTCAATCTTACAGAATATGTCATTCAGACATTTTCTTTTCTATTGATAATGCATTTTAAAAACCTATAACCGCTTTAAAACCGGATTCGCAAACCATATAACCGGCTTGAGAAAATCATAACCAATATATCCTAGTGAAAAGTGATTGATTTTCTGAATTTCTATGAAGTTGTATCCATTTAAGAACAAATTCGTCATAGATGCTATCTAGTATTTGGTTGCTTGCATTTAATTAACAATTTGAGAATCACTCAGGGTAACAGTGATAACATTTTTTTTTTTAAATACCAAGGCCAATAAAGTAGTCAAGAAAATCAGAACTAATATTCCATCTGGGTCTACTAGTTTTGTCTTACAGTTCAATACATTTTTAAAGAGTTTCAAAATAAAATACTCTCTCCTTACTTATGATAGAATGTGGAGGGGTTTGCTAAAAAGTTAAGTAAGCTCAAGATCAACATCTTTGGGATATGTTCTTTTCAAGAGGTTAACAGTCATCCTAATAAATTTCTTGCTTCGCATAGGTGCTTTCAGATTGACTGTTCAGAGTAGCTTTTCTTGAAACAGATTTTAGTGTGAAGGCAGCTTAAACTGCTACATCAATAAAATAATGTAATCCTGATTTGATCTTCTGGGGAGGGTTCATATGAAGTTTCCTGGACGTTTCTGCAATTTTATAACTTTTACTAATTTTTTTTTTACTCCGTTAACAGTTTAGATAAAAGCTCAAAGGTTAAGTCCTCGTAATAACTTTTTCAGAATTTGCGACTACTACGAGCAAACAGACATAGCACTTTAGCAATTTTAAAAAAAAAATCTCTCTCGCTATTGCAGCTGGCTTGTGACAAAAATGTAGGCAAATGAGGTTGAACAAATTATTCTGTGTAGTGAGGTTGAAAAGAAAATTATAAATGTCATTACTACGGTCAAATTATTTCACTGAACCAAGACATCAATCAACAGCGAGCACCCCATTTGATTAAATGTGGGATCTGCGCATGGAAAAAGACATCGTAATTTTGTCGGGTTTTTTTGAATAATTTTTCCCTGCAGACCACTGTACCCACCAACCAGACGTGCAGCCTCTTTTCAAGTCAATCTTAAGCCTACAAGTGAAATAATTAAACCTCAGGTCTCTCATGCCTTCTCCAGTGTGATATTTTTTGGATAAAATAATTATTTTGATATCACCGCAGGATGCAGTTTTGTATTTAACATAAGTCATTTGTGATTACTTTATGCTCTCATGATTTTTGCATTTTATATTTAAAAATTATTTTTTTTAAATTAAATGCTGGAATCTATTAAATTGTATAGTGTTAAATTTTGGGTCCCCTTTAAGTTGTAGCTGAGTAAGCTCAGGCCTACTTTGCATATAGGAGAAATTAGGCACTGGGTTGGGATACATACAGGGTTGCGACATAAATTTGTGTAAATTTTAATGAAAAATATTCTAAATCTCCACAATTTTGCCTAAAAGCACTTTGTTTACGGACACTCTGTCAAATAAAATTACAACTAATGAAATAAAAAAAAATTTTAAAAGCTCATGTACTTAGACTAAGACTAAGTATCACGCATCATTGAGCCTATTTCATCACATTAATTTATTATATTCAACTCGCAAGATTGTTAAATTTCTCCATTTTATGATCTTACAAGTTTAAAAAGAGCGAGAAGAAAGGGCAAACGCTAAGAAGTCCTGTTTTGTTGGCATTAGAAGATGTTTGTACAGTGTCTATTCTTTTACGAACATCCCATGACAACCGTGGTTACATGGGAACCCTCGTTACCTGGCAACCCTGGTTACCTAGCAACTCTGGTTACCTAGCAACCCTGGCTACATGGTAACCAATGATTAAAACTACGAAGCCTGGGAGCATTGTTGGAGACATCATCACTTTCGGGTAATATAGCCTAGAAATAAATATAAAATTTAGAACGTTCTCAAACTCAAGAAAGGCGAGAAACCATCACCACCACTCACTACAATACAGACACAACCCTAGTCAAGGGTTCTCACACAATATAGACAGGCAGCATCTGTTGTTTGTGGTTGCAAGAGATAAAAGACTTAGAATGAACATTCTCGTATATAGTTTTTGTAATGTTGAGTTGTGTATTTCAATGTGGTAAAATATAGATTTTTTTTTCATTTCTCTTTTAATATGGATGACTATGTAGCGCGCTTCGAGCCTTTGGGGATGAAGCATGATTTTCAAATAAGCTTTATTATTATTATTATCTCCAGCCCAGTCAATAGTAGGGCTACCTGCCTCAGTTTAAGTTTCTATCGTGGGTGACCACCAGAAGAGTCCTTTGGTCCACCTGTCGGTCTTGTAAACACGACCGTGTAATCTCACGGAAAATTTATGCAGTAACATTACAAAGCCTTAACGAGTTGATTTATGGAGAATCGACTGTTGTCCATGCAACTGGAGGACCCAGTGGAACGTTAAACGGGCGAAACTCTGCGGTGTTAGTGTACAGCAGCGTCTTTTTTTTTTTTTTAAATTGCTGTGGTTTGGAATCACGGACGTGAGTTATCATGTCTTGCCTTGGTATCTGATCACCCAACTACAACTGCAACACAACACAATTGTAACACTTTATTTATGTTTTCAAGCACCAAAATGATTACACTATACAATAACTTAATTGCAACCTGGTACCGTTGTTTGTAACTAATTTTCTGTTCAAAACTACTGACGACGCATGTTTCGAATCTATATGAAACGATACGAAAACATGCAGATAGGTCAATCAAAATATGGTCACGAGACTACGAAGGTAAAGCGAATGCACAAATACCCTTCAACCCACAACTACGTCATTTTTAATCGTTATCTCTTAATACCTTTACGCCAGTTATCATGATTGGCTAAAGGAGGATTCAAAATAGGAATTGTAAAAAAAAAAACAATCAACAGTTAAATGGGAAAAATGACGACACGTATTTGAAACGCTTGAAAAGTTGCGAAAATATTATCAGCTTTACTACGTAGGGCCGGTATTCGTCTGACAAATCGTAAATTTAGGACTAGTTTTTGAAAGACTTTGTAGAAAAAAAAGACAAAGAGAAAAAGAAAAGAAACAAACATCATAGTGTTGTATTCTTTTTAAACTGGAATGACAAAGTATTATTTTTTTATTTTTTTTTATAAGAAAAGGAAATTGAACTTTTAAAAACAGTATAAGAATTTACCATACCAGGCCTGCACAACTCAAAAGGTAAAGTGGGCCGTAATGAAAATCTTGTGCGGACCGAAAGCAAAAGATGACAGGGGGGGAAACTATAAATCATATTTTAAAAAAAAAATATTTTGTTACTTCGCGGGTCGAAAGGTGGGTGCTGGCGGGCCGCAACTGGCCCGCGGACCGTGTGTTGTGCAGGCCTGATATATAGTATGTGTGGACTACACAATATAAGAAGTTAGTAAGGGAGTTCAATGACAAACAAAAGAAAATGGCTTTGTTTCGTTATGGTTGAAACAAACTGAACTAGAGCTAAGAGAGTCTACATCGGAATAAACATTCGCATAGGTTAGTTTTTTAAATATTTTTTGAAAATTGTATTGCTGGAAATAGACAATGAAATGAAGCTGGGTCTGGGGTTTAAGGGATACAAAATCCAGGGACGTCATTTGGGTAGGGCAGGTTTTATTTAAATTGCTATGTACTGTGGCGCCCCCAGTAATAAACAACTTAACAAGCCGACCATGTTTTGGTTTGGCCCCCCACTCAACCCCCGCCCCCTGAAAACCTGAAGTGACTCCCCTGAAAAAATTCATTGGGCTAACAATGATGCGGCATTGTAGACGCGAAGTATGTCATGTCTTCATGTCTGTAAGGTGTGGGCTCCTGGGACATAACTTCTTTCAACAAAAAAAAAAGAAGAAGAAGTAGATGATTGTGTAATAAAAATGAAGCCTCAGTATCTGGCAACTAGATAATTTGCTGGTATCTTCATACTTTTTTTTAAAGAAAGGCCAAATAACATTTTGTTCCTTAAAAAAAGTGAAGTTCTTAGAATAAATGATTATCTTTTGTATTGCATCAATATGTCTTCTTATCTGTGTCACCTAGCCAGGAAGTTTCTCAAAAAAGCTGAACTCGTTGTGTAGATAAGAGGGTCCTGTTCGAGATAGCAAGTTTCATTGGGCTATATAAGCCCGTGGGAAACCAGGTACTAGAATGTCTGGTTGGTCAAAGGAGCGTCGTGACACAATGGGGCTGATGAGTTGGATGGTCCTGCTGACCCTGGGTCTGCTGTCACTGCACCTTGCAGGTAAAAACGTGTCTTTTGATTGTGCATGGTCAATTTATTATGTTAAGGGGGGGAAAAAACAAGATTCTTAGTGCTATAATATTTTGCATGGGTTTGCTTATCTGAAATGTCAATTTCGTGGTTTAAAAATTCTTGTGAATCGGCGTCGTCTTGAACAGCTTAAAACATATTGGTTGCGTGTATTGTTTTTAACATCAATCCCAGATTGACTAGCCTCACGTGCTAAGCACTGTTACGCCTCCAGTAATTAACATTGTCAGACGGTCTCTGAATGAAAATGTTAGTCCTGTCAACAACAATGAAATTAATTTGTTTAAATTAGAAATTTGGGCCTACAAACATTACATTTTAAAAAAAAAAAGGTCTCATTTGGTCAAAACGGAAGTTATGGCCCATTTTCCTTTAAAATTCCATTTTGCAAGTTTCACAAAGCACACACACTCACTTTCTTTTCAGAGACAATCGTAATAATTGTGTAGCATAGGAAACAAAACTGTTTTTAAATTTTAGCTATCTCCAAAACAGAGATATTATCTATTGAATGCGTTATCCGAAAGCAACGCGGACATTTATGATTTCAGTTTCATTGACTACTCTAAACCTCCTTGCAATAATATATTATTATAATTCTGTAAATTTGGCATTATACCTTTAGGGTAATAGAAATAAGTCTCAACGCTGGGAAAAACATATTTATGGTGCTCAAAACAGAATTTCATTTGATCTTAGCTGTTAAACCGTAAATCTGCTTTTCATCCTCTTCATTTTGGCTCATGTGTTTTTCATAGGTCCTCATAAACATTCTATCTCATTAATGTTGCGTGGTTTTTGTTGGGCTTTGGGGCTTTGTTGTTTCTTTTTTTTTGTAGTTTTGTTTGTTTGTTTTTTTTGTTTTTTTTGCTTTAGTGAGTGTGTATGTTTGTTTAGAATCTATTTGTTTTTTTTTTTAAATTTTTTGGTTTTTTTTTGTTGTTGTTGAAAATATGATTTTTACCTAATGACATTTCTCTTAGTATGCATTTCATTAAATTAAAACAAAATTTAGTCACAAATAAGGTAATTTTGCAAAAAAAAAAAAAAAGCTCTTTGCGCCTACATGTGATACTTTCAATGTATCTTGTTTTGTCAAAGTGTTTATGTTTAAAATAAAGTGTTTGCCCTCCGTGCGTTTCATGCCATTTCATTGTATAGCTTTATTCAACACGTTTTACGTTGGTTGCAAGCGAATGATCCCCTGAGAACGCCCCGATAACTGTAAAACCATATGTTTTCTCGTCACATTACTGAAGGGATTTCTAGTATATTCCCATGCATCCACCCCAAAAAGCTTTAGAACAATACAAAATATACAACAACAAAAAACACAAGATCAGCGGTTTTCAGCCTCTGGGTCGGGACCCTTTTGGGAGTCATACGACCCTTTCACAGGGATCGCCTAAAACCATCGGACAACACTTATACTCCACAGTTATGAAGAGGAAACGAAAATATTTTTTGTTTGTTTGAGGGTCGCCAGCCGGAACACGAGAAACTGCATTAAAGTGTCGCGGCATTATGAAGGTTGAGAACCACTGCACTGATTGTTAGGACCTAACTTGGCGTATTAAAGCACGCCCAATTGAATAGATGCGCACAAGCAAATGTAGTCACTGAGCTTCGGTTAGGTGCATTTTAAGTGGTAGGAATGGAGGTGTCTAACTTAAGCCGTTTGGTGGATAATGGGATAAGGTGGACGGTGACTCCAGAAATCGTGAAGGGTTTTAGTTTGAAAGAAAATGGTTTGATGGTGTTTGTTCATTTAGGGGTTGCTGAAACAGGTTGATGGTGGGAGGTTTGTGTAAGGGGTTCAACTTAAATCCATGTATGGACATAATTTTTTTTTTATCGTTCATAATCAGTGGCCTTTATTCAGATATTACACATGCATGCACACATTTATACACGCACACATTTATACATGCACGCATTTATGCATGCACGCATTTATGCATGCACGCATTTATGCATGCACGCATTTATGCATGCACGCCTTTATGCATGCTCCAATGTCGTAGTTAATAGAAAGTCAGAAAAGAAAAAAAAAAGTTAGTTTGAGAATAAGTCAAAAAATAAACATTGTAAGTGTCCACGACGTGTTTGCTATTAACTTTATCCGAACAGAAAATATATTTGTAATTATAATGACCCAATTTTCTTTTGATCAATTTACTTAATTATATTTTTGAAATGTCAACCATGCTCTTGCCATTACTAACAATAGGAGTTTTCAAGGATCTGTCTTCCACTTTGAAGAACTTTGTCTTTAGACGCGTTAAACTTGCGTCATTTGGGGATGAGTACGTCTGTGACGTGTCTAAAATAGAGCAGTCATTTGGGGATGACTGCATCGGTGACATGTCTGCAACGTAACAGTCATGTTGATTTCTCTTCTATCTTTGCCTTCAATCTCGGGAGATTCTTTAAGACATAATGAAAGGGTATGATTCAACAATGATTAGTTGTATAGGTTAGATCAGCGTTCCCAAAATGGCGGTCCGCGGACCGGCGCTGGTCCGTGAGCCTTACGTTGCCGGTCCGGACAACATTAAAATTTATGGTGGAATAGAAGGAAAATATGAGTAACAAATCTGCCACCGGTCCCGGGTGCAATTCCCAATCTTGCTCACAGGTCCGACAAGCTTAAAAGTTTGGGAAACGCTGGGTTAGTTGACTCACTTGGTTAGGGGGAGGGGAGGCGAGCGGTGAGTCAGAACTTTAGTAATTCAGACGTGTATCAAGGTCCTTAGGTCATATCTAGGGATGCACTTAGTTCACTGAGGTAACACAGTTCACTTGTACTGTTTTGTTCAGAAAGATTACAGATGACAGTTTCATAAGCGCCTACATTCCATCACAAAATTGGTCGACTCTTTTCAAGAGAAAAGTGTTCCATTTTAAATGAAAGGCTTTAAAAATGGCCTAAGACTATTTGAATCGTATTTAAATATGTTAAGTGGTTGTGTGAACAAAAAATAATTTAATTGTACCAAGACAGACTTCTTATCGCCCATAACGATGGGCGGATTGCAACGCAACTGTGCAGTCAAGTGCTTTTTGTGTGTCTTCAAGTTCCCAAACGTTATCATACAGGATTCTATTCGAGTGTCTTTGAGAGTTACCTCTAGATACTTGTTTTACATTTTCTGGGCGTATACACAGATTCTGTTGCGAGGGTATTGATAAGCTTTGGCAACAGCAAGTGTCAGCAAGCACAAATGAGGACAAGGGATGCAAGTTTTACCTGAAGTAGCGGGCTGAAATTATTCAATATAATTATTTAGTGCATTTTTTCATAGAATTTGTGTCAGAAAGTACTAATTGATCATTGACATATTTAGCAATTCAATCCATTTAGAAAAAAAGAAAAAAGACTTTACCGTCGTAAATTTGAAATTTAAAAAATAAAACAAATCTTTCTAAATAAGATGTTATTTTATAATGCCGGCTCATTCATCATTCAACCCGTCTGACACGAAAAAAAATTAGAATCATTTCGCTAAGCACACTTCTCCACGGACCATCAATCCTGATATTTTTTTTTTAAATCTAGAAGGAAAAAAATGTGAAGGCTTAAATCATTGAGCCAGTCACAATCCATACATTCTCGATTAAACAATAAAGAGAGATAAAAGTGAAGCAGCGCATGATATCCATCCTCTTTGGTTTTTCTCTAAAAATTCCGTCGATGAGATTTCTTTCAAACAAATTTCCGGTTAACCGTAAAACATTCTCAACCCCGAGACCAGGGGACAACCCGTCACTACATCTCACAACAATAAAGACACAGCCCCAGCCATGGGTTCTTGTACAGTATAAGCTAGGAGCATCCACAGCGACACGCGATTAGTTAAGTCATTAGCAGCGAGTCATGTTTAAGTGCACACTCTGCATGACCTAGAGCTGAATTTCTAACACATTTTCCTTTAACGGGATCTATTTTGTCGATGCATATTTGACTTTATCCCAAAAAGCGCGTGAGGCCACCTTGAAGTTGACCATAGGCCGCGCAGCTCAGTTTGAGTGTCACGTGAATTGTAAAAGACAAAATCATAATTCCTAACACGGGTACAAACTCAGTTACCTTGAGGGCAAAGCAATTTTTTTTTTGAACCTCAGGCTAGCATTTAAATTGTATACTTGAAATAGTGTTTTAGCTATCTTCTGAATTTAACATCTTTCTTTTGTATTCTTTAACAGAACATCACACCACTCTGAAAGTCTCGACTCTGCATCGAAGTCGCGCATAGATTTGTTCTAAAATAGTTAAGCTAAATTACTGTAAGAACCTGACTGGCGGCTTGTTGGAAATGTTGATATTTTTTTACCTTACTTTTATCCCTCCAAAAATATACATGAAACACTTTAACTAAATCTTAAACTCTCTTGTCACTGGAACTTACAAAGCTTGCAACAGTGACCGGACACTTGTAGATAATAGCTCTGTACCATGATCAGACAATTTAAACAGCTGAAAACACGTGATCTACAGCCGCGACACTTTTCTGCACGATCTTTATTTAACGTTAAAAAATAATTGTCAAACACAACAGCATTTCCAATACCTTGAGCCTCATCGTTGTTTTAACTTGATCGCAGTCTCTCTCTCCCAATTCATACAGCTACTTAAGTCGTCAGGATACAGTTTTGTTATGTTGTTGTTTTCGGCTCTTTACTAAATAGTGTGTTTTTACCATGTCTCTCTCTATATATATATATGTGTGTGTGTAATAAATGCTCACGAGTTAATTTAATAAAGGTAAATAATATTTTTCATTCACTCCAGAAAGCCAGCTGTGTAACGGAGCTAATGCAGGTGCTTATCCCCACCCCAGTGACTGCACCAAGTACATTTTGTGCGTAGCTGGTGAAAGTTTCGAAAGAACGTGTGCCACGGGAAACTATTTTGACTCCAAACGGAATGCGTGCATGTTCCCAAACAACGATTCCACCTGTGCCAATGGCGTCCTGCCAGCGTTCGTTGCCTCAGGTATTGCTTATTCTTCAAACCATTTTATGTCAATTTTTTTGTTGCTGTTGTCGTTGTTGTAGATGCAGCGGTCGTTGTTACGTTACTTTCAGAATCTCAGAGACTAACTTACCAGGTCGCCAGCTTGGCCGAAAGCTTGTGGTCCCTCGGTAAAATGGTCCCCCCCCCCCTTTTTTTACATAACAAGACATGTGTTATAAATGAAATTTTAAATTGCTTTAAAATATAATAGACTTGTCCAGTTTTTTTCATGTATACCTTATATATGACGTTTATTACAAAGATGTAAAAGACAGAAACAAATTTTTTTTAAAAAATATATAAAACCATAATAAATTTAAAATGTTGCTTTGAGATATGAAACGATTTTATTAAATTTTTTTTGGATGAATCGATGATTAAAACTTTTAAAAATACACGTAACGACCAAGAACGTGATTTGGGTAGGGCATTGTGGGCATTTGCCCCCCCCCCCACTTTTTTTTCTCCAAAATTTACAAGTGTAATTTAAATATCTATGTACTGTGGCGCCTCCAGTAATAAACAACTTAACAAGCCGACAAGGTTTGGGTTTCCCCATCGTCTTAAAAAAACCTTAAATGACTCCCCTGATATCGAAACAAGGGTGCTTACAAACAGTCACTTCTTCTTGGTAGCCATGGAGGTGATACGGTTTCCACACAGAGTAATGAAGGTTTTCTTCTTACTACCAAATATATCCTACATGGGGGCAAACCGTCCAAGTTTAAATAGGGCTCGGAAGACACCTGTGTACTCAATGTCGAAATGGAGATGGTTGGTTCCACCTCTAAATAGAACCCTCTGTAAATCGTGTGAATAAACTTTTCCAAATCACCGGAGGTGGGGAAGGAGTGGCAGCACGTCGCTCTAAGTTATAACAAGGAAAACATGAATGATATGTTTATAATATTGCAATATGTACAGAAACAACTGCACTGTAATTATATTTATCATATATATTTATTTTATACAATCAGAATATGCAAAGTTTATCAAGGCTTTTAACTCTTAAAAGAGATATAAGTTAAGTTCATGGGGCAAAATGTTGAGTATTCCTTTTTTTTGTTGTTAAATTAGAATTTCAGTGCAGGACACACCTCTCTTTCTCCCCCCCCCTTTTCCACACACATATCTCTGGACAGAATCCATTTTTCTCCTACCAACCAATATTTTCAGACGCGGTCAGGCGCCATACTCCTTAAATCTTTTTTTTTTAAATCTTTTTTTACTGGTTATTATTAGATCTATGTCATTTCAAAAATTATATTTTGTAACAAATTTAACTGACCTGTTCCTCCGCTTTTAGAATATATCAAATAAAAATATCTAGAATGGAAAGTTTTTGCCAGAAAGCAATACTTTACACCTTCTTAATAAACTGAAACGCAAGTAAAAAAAATAATGTTTTTATTTGATTTATTTTTGTTTAAAGCAATAATAGCTGTTATGTGAATAATGGTCGTGTAATTCTTTTTTTTTTTTTTACACAATAAAATTATTTCCACCAGTGCAACCGAACTTCTGTGCACAGAACCATTGGGTGGATGGGATACATCCTCATCCCCAGACGTGCAGGATGTACATCGTGTGCAGCAACTCCATGCCAACGTTCATCAGTTGCCCCAATGGTCAGCTGTTTGACCCCAATGACAAAACGTGTGTGAGTGCACAAGTCGCCAGGCCGTGCAACGATGCACCAATCAATGAAAATTTAGGTAAAGAACATTGCTTCTGTACATGAACTAAAAGTGAAACGGAAAATAAAAGAACAAAGTATGTCAAAAGCTTAAAATGGGAAAGAAACGGGACAATCAAAGGAACGTTTCGTATAGAAGACATCATCAGACGACCGAAAAAAAACAACAAGAAACAAAAGAGAATGAGAAAAATTAAAATCAGTTTGTCAGTTGCGGGAATCATATGATAGAGATAGGAAGGTGTCTAAAAATCGAAATGTACGTGTTAACAAAGAGCAGTGGTTCTCAACCTGTGAGTCGCGACCCCTTTGGGAGTCGAACGACCCTTTCACAAGTGTCGCCTAAGACACTGCAGTTATGAAGTAGCAAAGGGATGTAATGTTAAGAATGGTGCCCGCCACACCATGAGGAACTGTATTCAAAGGTCGCATCAATAGGAAGGTTGAGAACCACTGACATAGAGAAACACAGTCCCACCCATATTGACCAGATAAGTAATGGCCGTCTGGGGCTAGTTTTTTTTTCCCTCAAGCTACTGGAGATGCACCACTATGATTTCAACACAGCTTTTCCAAACAAGTCTGTTACAGTGTTATGAAGGCATCCACTGCTAATGCATTTCAATGATCTAGTCCCAATTATAAAATAACCAAAATGGCGGCCCACGCGTTCTCAAACTACGAAATCGGAAAAAATGTTTGAGGGGATTTCTTTTTTTATTCGCCGTAACTAAAATAAATAGAAAAAAAGAACAACAAAAAAAGAAATGAGCCAAACAAAGTCTGGGAAAACCTGGGGAAAAAAGAGCACACCAAAACCGAACGTATCGCCAAGAGCCTTCATCAGTCTAACAACCTGAGTAAAAACAGAATTAATTTTTTTTTTTTAAACTTAGCTGAAATGTAGTTTCCAAGAGGACAGCAAGAGGAATGTCAAAAGAGATTTTTTTTTTTTAAATAACTTTTATCAACTACTTCTTCTTTATCCAGATCCGCTAAATACATTATTTTTTTTTTTACTTTAATAAATATATATTTTACTCTTCCGCGCGTAGAGTCGGTGTGCACAACAGCCAGGGCGGACATACTGTTTCTTCTGGACTCATCCTCGAGCATGAGTTATCAAGATTTTGCCCTGCAGCGCCGCTTCGTCATCAACGTCACTAACTCGTTTCCTGTAGGCGCCGATAACGTGCACTTCAGCGTGATGGTCTTCTCCAACGATGCTCAAATTAAGATCCCATTTTCAGCGCAGCAGACCAATGTTGGCCTAGCGAGCGTAAGTCTCAATTTCGTATCCAACCTCCACCCACCCCTCACACGCACACTCACACGATCTTCGTGAATGACGACACCAGACGCCTGCGACAGGGATACTATACGCATGAGACAGGAACATATTATGTGTTATAGGCTGGGAAAGAGTTTTGCCTGTTTGTTATTGACCTCTTCGCTTTTTGCTTAATACGATTTAAAGAATAGAAATTGAGAGGTTTGCTCATATGATAAAGGTTCCATTGTAAGATAACTAGAATTATTATTTACATAATCTAATGGATTTTTTGTATATTCAGAATATAGACAGCATATCGTACGTCGGATCGTCTACGTTCACCCACACTGCCCTTGACCTGGCCAGGACCTTCGGCTTCTCTGCAGCAAACGGTGCTCGTCCAGGCACGAAGAAAATTGCCATTGTGCTGACCGACGGACTTTCAAACAACACGGCCCTGACCCTGAACGCGGCAGGCCAGCTGAGGCAGACCGGCGTCCACGTGTTAGCCGTGGGTGTCGGCCGCTTCGATAGAACCGAGCTGGAAGGAATCGCCACGAGGATAGGCGATGTGTTTTACAGGGACAGCTTTGACCTACTGCACGAGCTTAACGGAGAGATCACATCCAACGTTTGCAACGAAGGTGAGGTTTTAGCGACATGGAACAAGGACGATATGTTTATTAGGCTGGGAACTATTTTTTTGCGACATTGAACAACCACGCTATGTGTAATAGGCTGGGAAAGAGTTTTGCAACATTGAACTGTAACGCTATTTGTAATAGGCTGGGTTTTAGTTTTGCGACAATGAGAAAGGACCATATTATGTGTAATAGGCTGGGAAAGAGTTTTTGCGACATTGAACTGTAACGCTATTTGTAATAGGCTGGGTTTTAGTTTTGAGACAATGAGAAAGGACCATATTATGTGTAAATAGGCTGGGAAAGAGTTTTTGCGACATTGAACTGTAACGCTATTTGTAATAGGCTGGGTTTTAGTTTTGCGACAATGAGAAAGGACCATATTATGTGTAATAGGCTGGGAAAGAGTTTTGCGACAATGAACTACAACGCTATTTGTAATAGGCTGGGTTTTAGTTTTGCGACAATGAGAAAGGACCATATTATGTGTAATAGGCTGGGAAAGAGTTTTGCGACAATGAACTACAACGCTATTTGTAATAGGATGGATCTAGTTTTGCGACAATGAGAAAGGACCATATTATGTGTAATAGGCTGGGAAAGAGTTTTGCGAGATTGAACAAAAAACCTGTGTGTAATAGGCTGGGTACTAGTTTTGAGACAATGAACAAGGACGATGTCTAACAGGTTGCGAACTAATTTTGCGACATTGAATAATAACGATTTTATGCGTAATAGCCTTAAAACTAGCTTTTTGACATTGAAAAGCAACGCGCTGGGTCATTGGCTGGGTAGTAGTTTTGCGACTTTGAACTACAACGCTTTGTGTAATAGGTTTGGAATTAGGCGCGATTTATGGTGACGTTAATGATTTGCGATTTCAGAAAGGCGATTGGGGACAAATGTTATAAGAGGCCAAACTTACAACAATGGAATTATACACAGTAACTCTTGTCGCTTTGGTCTGTTTAATTCTTTCATTCTGGCAGCCGTCATCCCTTTCTGTCATAACAACGAATCGTATGCCGATGTCATCATCGTAATGGACTCCTCAGAGAGCATCGGCTACAACAACTGGAGGAAGCAGTTGGACTTCGCGGCGAGTCTCACGAGCAATTTCAGAATCGGACCGAACGACATGCGTTTTGCAGCCATTTCCTACGGCACAGTGGTTCACAAGTTGTTTGATCTCAAATCCTACTCCCTGGCATCCACGATCGGCGGTGTAAGTAATATTTTAAATAGCACGGTTGTTTGGCAGAACGCCATCAGATTAGGTAGAAGGATATTTATGAAACAAGGTGTGGCAAAACCACATGAAAGAATAGGACGTAACAAAACTACGAGCGTGTCGGTCGACAGATGCCTTCTTTAGCGAACTTTACTAATAAAGAGTGACACAATTAATTTATTTTTTTTTTTTTTTTTTTTTTTTTTTTTTTTATAAAGTTAGATTGGGCGGCTGAGTTTAAGAAACAAAATAATAAGGTCTTTGGTCTATGAATAAAATTATATTTTTTTAAAGTTAGAAAAAAACGACCTCCTTCATTGACCTCTGTTGTGTTCTCTTTCAGGCCATAAAACTAGCAACTTACCAGGCTGAAAGCACAAACACAGCGTCGGCCCTCAAATACATTACCGATCAGGGCATGTTCAACCTGGGAGCAGGTGCGAGGTCTGGTGCGACAAAGATCGTTATCATCATGACAGACGGACAGTCCAACAACCCAGCGGACAGTAAGTAGCATAACTGGCATTTCCTCTCGGGGCTTCACTCTAAAAATAGACTCGGGCAATCGGACAGTAATTCTTGATCGCTGTTATTTGTTTTACATTAATTTACACCAGTTAATGTTGATGAACTTTTTGAAGTAATGATCATGTGAGTTCCCAATAACCCCTCCCCCACCTCCAATTATTTAAATGACTGCATCAGTTACAAGCATTGCTTGAGTATGAGTGTCAGTAGACTCCCCAATTTGACTTTTTTTGTAGGATATTTATCACTTTTTCCATTGAGGTTTGTTCATTGTTTGGTACCAGCCTTACGTCACCTATAGAACTATTCATCGATTTCCTGTTTAAAAAAAATATCTTATTTGAGACTTAGAAGTCTTATATAATAAAATATAGACTTGAGAAAGTTCCAAAAATGTATTAAATAAAAATTGAAGACTTGAGAATGTTAAAAAAAATGTCTTATTTAAGAATTTTAAGACTTAAAAATGTTTAAAAATGTCTTATGTAAGAATTTGAAGACTTTAGAATAATAAAAAATGTCTTTTGTAAGAAATTTAAGACTTGAGAAAGTTTAAAAAATGCCTTATGTAAGAATTTGAAGACTTAAGAAGAATAAAAAAATGTCTTAAATTTAAGACTTGAGAAGGTTTTAAAAATGTTTTATGGAAAAAATTTAAGACGGAAGAAAGTTTTAAAAAATGTCGTAAGTAAGAAATCTAAGACTTGAGAATGTTGAACGCTTACAATATCACTTTTACTACAACAAAGATGGCGGCGTCCTTTCTTTTTTCTCAACATGTTTTGCGAAAACACATGCGACGGAAAATAGAGCTTAGCCAATTTACTTAGTTAATACACGTTTATATATACACTTTTACCAAGGATTCAAGTTATTTGATGCAAAACACATTAATGGTTCAGGATGCATAGTAAATCATATCGTTCTTTTTCAAATTACTAATAGAGATAATGCTTGAAACAAACAGTGCAGATTCTAGAAAATACTAACTCTATGTGTTAAAATTCCATCAGCCCAGGTCGAAGCATCAAACCTCATTGCTCAAGGTGTCCACATGATCGCCATTGGGATCGGTAACGCTGTTGACTTCCGTGAGATCATAGCGATGTCCAGCTCTGATGCCGACAGATTCCACTCACCCGGTTATGAAGTACTCTACAGACTCGAGGCGGAGGTCAAAAATAGAACGTGTAATAGTAAGTCGATGAGCCCTAAAAGAACATTGTTTCACACTATTTCAGTACAAGAAAAATGGGACCGGTCAGTCTAGAGAAAGTGAAATCGTTTAAAAGATGTTGGCCGATCATACACGGCATGGACAAAGACACTTCAAATTATAGTTCATTAATAATTGTTGCGACTGGATGTTTTAAGTACGCTCGGTGTGCTTTTGAGAGATTAATTAGGTAGTGAACGTTCTTTCCGCGCTTGACTTGGTGACGTCTTTTTATGCTTATTAAGATGCATTGTCTAGTCTGCTTTTTGACGGACGTGTTGATTAATGGGCAGCCGTGAAAGGAACTTTGTGGAAGAAGGCTGCGTTTTATTTTCTCTCTGATAGGGAGGTGGGCTATACATGCGTGTATGGAATTAACAGTCTGTGAATCTAATTCGATATTGAAGTTGCATTTATTATGAAAGAGGACTTGGGTTAATTCAGTGCTAGAACGATGCATGACAGCGTGTGAAAGAAACGGTGCATGACACACATACGAACGGAAGGGTGAACAAAGCTAAAAAGTGTTGAGTCAGTTAACCCCTTGCAAACTTAAGCATTTTTCTAAATTGTGTTTTCATAAACTTCAGATCACTTAAAAGGCACTAATTTTTTTTTTTTTGAAGGGGTGTGGGGGGACAATTACGTTCAAGAATTTGTCGAACTTTTAATTTAAAATTTAACAAAATATGTAAAATAATGTTGGTTTAAATTGACTAACAATAAGACTTTGTCATTTCAGTTAACAATCAGGGACCAGGCCAAGGTGAGTAAACATATTCCAAAGACTGTGTCTGTATAAATAACACTTCGCTTATAGAGTAATTTAATGCAACCACCATAAGATCTGTGACTGAAATCAAATACAGCAGAGCCTCGATTATAAGAACGCCGAATATCTGGAACTTCAGTCACCCGAAGCTGTTCCCAGAATTGTGTTTTTTTCTCGTACCCGTTGATTAGACTTTACATTTTTAGGACCCCCCCCCCCACCCTTTTTTTCCCCAGTTCCCTTACCCTCAAATCATCTCAAAAAAGTATTTTAAAAATATGTAGCTAAATAGGTAATCCAATGAAGCAGAAAAAGCTAATGACGTCACAGTCTTTTATTTTTCTAGTTAGAGGTTATTTCAGTTTCTTTTGTTATAAAAATTTATAGTAAACCAGTTATAGCCCGCCAAACATTGGCGGCAGCAATGCGTGAACTTCCAATCTAGTAAAGTTACTTGACAAAACATGAACTCAAGTAACGCACATTTAAGAATCCCAATATTTGCTACACCCCTTCCCCCATGATACGTCACTGCACACTTTTTATTTCACGCCCATGAACTATATTAATATTCGCATCTCCCAACCACTTTTAAACCGAATATTTTTTTACACAATACTTAAATTGAGACGATTTCATTTCAGAACAGAAAATATTACGCACCAAACGCAGTTGCGTTATTAAAAAATATATATATCATGTATAGCGTAGTCATCGGGAATTCTATTTTGCGCGCTAGTGAACCCATTATTGAACCACACTCTGCCGTATCTGTAAATAGCCTGCGTGGTGTTTCAACCCTGTTGGTGTTTGACCTTTGCTGGCGAATTATATATATAGATTAACAAAAATTGTTTCCCAAATTAACTTTTAATGAAAGTACAATGGTTATTCCTGAACTTTAAACACTTATCTTGTAAGCAAACGGTTCAATGTGCATCTTTAAATCATTATTTTTTTTTTTTTTAAAATCAGGCTACAAAAAGACAGAGCTAACCTCAACGTCATTGTGATATTTATACTTAATGTATGTTTAGATGAAAATGCTCTTTCCATTACGGCTAAAGAGTAGAGAAAAATTAATCGCTTCCGGCAAAATGAATCTCAAAGTTAAACATTAAAATATAATGCTATGCCATAAAATGAGGGGAAAAAGGGGGGGCGATCAATAAAAACTTTGAACGTTTGATTTTATGCAAAATACGGTTCTCGTATTATTAGAACACTGTTTTTATTCTTAAATTGCGTTTTAATATACCGCACAATATGCTAATAGATCTATCGCTTCTCGTAAATTAACCGGTGCATAGGGAAAAGAACAACTTTAAAAAAAAAAAAATTGCTTACGTATCCCCAATTCAGTGCGACATGCGCCTCCAGAGGTGCGCATACCAGATGCTGGGGACCGCTGGAGTAGAGAGCAGGTTTCCAGTTCATTGGAGGCGACCTCAAAAGGGTTAGCGAAGGCATTTATGTAGGATCGCCGGCTGAAACAATCGACTTAAGAGACGTTGTGTTTCTTGGATGATTTTGTTTTCTTTTGTGTCATACAGTTTGAGTAACAATTTGATTTATAACATTAAATATCTCACCATTTACATTATATATATATTTTTTTTAAACTACATTTTAAAATGTTTACCTTTCCAAAAATGTACCTTATTTGATAGAGATTTATTTTGCTTCTATATGAATGTGGTTATGAGTTGAAAACGCACGAGAACCAGCGTACAAGCTTAGTCATTCAGAGCAGTTAACCAGATGGTACAGATCATGGCTTATAGCGACACCTAGTGAAAATCCGTGGCAGTCTGTGACTTGATGAAGTTCTTTTTTTAAAAAAAAAAAACAAAAGGAAAATGTATCCTAAATGTGTGCATCCCGAATTTCCTGGAAAAGGGAAAATGTATCCTAAATGTGTGCATCCCGAATTTCCTGGAAAAGGGAAAATGTAGCGGAAACTCTAGTGTTGAATAATTTAATTAAAAATCTTGCGGTTCCGCGGATCTTTGGGTAGCGGGAGAGAAATCCATCCCATCTGGTACGTAGTAAAAATTATATTGGTTTCCTTTTAGTGTGTGTGTGTGTACAAAAAAGGGGGGGGATTAGCGTTAATGCAGTGATGCTCTGATTACTTGAGTATGCTGAACATTCATTCAATAGATTAGTCGTAAAGCCAAAAACATGTTCGCTTGATAGAGAGACCGAACGGGATCACGCACATCGTCAACCGAATGTTAAATATGTTTACATGAATTTAAAACCCGTAGAGCACTTAAACATCGAGATCTCTCTAATTCTGACAACTTGGAGCAACAGAGCGAAGAAATGCAAAGAGTTACCGTCCGTTAAAAATTCAATTTCAAGATAACTCGAGAATTGTGTACAATTTCTTTTTCTTTCTTTAAAGATTTTACTTTCTGATGTTTTCCTAATTAGAAGATCTAAACAAAAAATGATTATGTGCTAACTAACTAACAACCATATTCTGACATGGCGTCAGTGGGTCGTCGAGCGCGAGCTCATAACCACCCTTCCTCTTTCCGGCACACCTCCACACGGGCCAGACGCCGGGTCTCGCCGCCGCCAGACCGTGCGGAAGCACGCCGGGAACCTCCCCCCTGGTCCGGTCGACTGAAAACACTGCATTTAAGGCGTTCGCGGTCCACTCTCCTTGGGTCTGAACGGCATTGCTTCCTCTTCGGTGGAAAGGTGTTGCGTTACCTCCACACCGTCCAGGGAGTTGTCCGGTCGGGACGTAAGCGGGGACGAGACGGTGCCTCGGAGCGGCTTTCTCAGGGCCGCGTAGCTAAAATCATCGGAAAGAGTCTTACGGCCACCCAGAACTCACATCCATTAGCGGCAACAATTAATCATATGTTGCGTTCCTCCCGTTGCGTTCACAGTTATGCAGTGGCCGGGGTTTCGTATCTTCGGGTTTGGGGGGGGGGGAACCTACATACTTGTCTGCCACGCCACAAAGAGGCAAAACCCCATGTGGACGCCCCCAAGTTTCCTCGGAGACGCTCCCCTTCCGCGGACAGTTAACTCATTGATAAGAATATATCAAAACCATGCAAGCAGTTCCATACATTGATGTTCCTTTGTAAGGTGTCTGTCACTTCGCCTTTAACTTTGCAGATGTGTCAAACTTTTGCCTGCAACAGAACTGGGTCAACGGCATACATGCCTACCCGTTCGACTGTACCAAGTTCATCGAGTGCACGTTCTTGCACACGGCCATCATGCACTGCCCCCCAAACCTCGTGTACGACCCCATTCTGCAGACGTGCACCTACCCCAAGGACGCCGTCTCCTGTTTGGACCACAACGACTACGTCTACCTGCCTGGACAGTCCACACCTGTGCCACACGTGACCGCTCCTTTTGGTAAGAGCAGCCTCCATATGCATCATACGTGTACAAGATTTGTCTACATTTTTATTCATGATTGGTGTCTTTATTTTGAAGCTGATATGTACTTTACTGTTGTACATGATGTGTGTACATATTTATCTACATATCTGTGTACTTTATTTTTGTACATGATTTGTCTTCTTTATTTTTATATGATTTATGTACTCTATTTTTGTACATAATTTGTGTAATTTATGTTTGTACATTATTTGTGTACTTGATGTTTGTACATCTGTGCACTATATTTTGTCTGAAACGTTTGTTGTGTTAAATGTTGCATATTTAATGTCATGTAAAAAGGTTTGTTTTATTGCCTGTTTGACTAACTTTCCATAGCACTCTCAGATACGTCCACAGTCAGCTTAACGTTTGATTCTGTTTCTCAGATGTGTCCTTAGTCTGTCAGACCAACCACTGGCCAAATGGCTACTACCCTCATCCTACCGATTGCAGTTTTTATCTCCAGTGCGTGGATGGCTTCACCATTAGTATTGCTTGCACTGCTGGGTCCGTGTATGACCCCGAGTGGAAGGGTTGCGTAAACCCCAGTTTGGCGAAACCTTGTAATGACTTCAGAACAACTCAAGTGCCTTACACCACTCAAAGATATGTTACAACAACATCACCTAGATACAGTAAGTACCTCAAGAAGCGCATGTTATTACTTACTAAGGGCAGGTATTACTGAATAAGTGCGCGTGTTACTGGATTAATGCACATGTTGCTAAAAGGGGCGCATGTTACTGAATAAAGGAACATGTTGCTGAATAAGAGCGCATGCTACTGAGAATGGGCGCATGTTACTGAATAAAGGAACATGTTACTGAATAGGGGCGCATGCTACTGAATACAGGCGCATGCTACTCAAAAAGGGCGCTTGTTACTGTGGGCGACTTATCAACTCCACGCTTCATTGCATATTGCCACCCCATTTTTGCAATGAATGTCCACCTTTCTGCTTCTTTTCGTTCACAGACTTAACAAACATCTGTTTCCTGTACAAACTTCCTGACGGCATCTACCCTGACCCCGGCAGCTGTGTCCACTTCATTGAGTGCACGAATCAGGACACCAAGCACCTGATTTGTCCTGATGGCCTGAAGTTCAACTCCAAGTCTCTGTACTGCGACGACGTCCACCTCGTCAACTGCAATGATAATTACAATTTTCAGTTTGAGCACATCGTTGTCCGTTGAGGTGTTCAGAGAGGGGTTTGAGACTCCGTGGTGGCTTATCACGCACTGGGCGAAGACAGCCGCTTATTTTAGCCATATATAAGACAAGATCATCCTGTGTTATGCTTTAAAATCATTCCGCATTCACACCTGTAAAAGTTTATTTAACAATAACAAACGCAGATTACGTTATTTTAAAATGCAATCTTACATACGCTACTCTTCCCTTTTCCTCAAAAGCACTCTTTATTATGTAAATAATGTTTATTTTCATCGTAATACCAAATCTCAGATTATTTCCCAAATGGACTGAAAGAAAGAGAGAATTAAAGAACGTTTGATTTCCTTCTTTCATTCAATCTTCCATCTGGCGATTATTTCATGAGCCACAATAAACGTCAATCTTTTTGTGTTCACTATTAAATACTTGATCTTTGACTAGCATTTGTGTAAATAAAGGTGTGTTTTTTTTAAGTACTAAAGTTATTTACTTTATTATAAATTATGTGAGATGGCTCTGGATCAGGTGAGTAAGCATCCAATTGTGGATAGAAAATCCATAGAACCCACCACGTGGTACAAATACATTGACAAACAATAAATTGGTTTAAAATACTTTACTGCTATGATGTGTAGACTTTTGTGAAAATTTAACTTGATAATTTACATCACAATGTCTAGACTTCTGTGTAAATGTAACTTGATTATTTACATCGCAATGTTTCTAACCAGAATAAATATTTATGATAAGTAATTGTGCGTGTTTGAATCATGTTTATGCACGTTTCATTAAATCTTTGTTCGAGGACCATTGAGTTTAAATGACCGGCTCTGTCAATCTCACGTGCCAAGTCTGGCTGACCAGGGTCGGCAAAAGTGTTCATCGTCTGCTCCTCGTTGCCGGTGGGAAATATTCCCACCAATCTAGACCCGCATCCTCCAACAAGTGGGAAGGGAGATCACTGTGTGGGAACATCGGGACCAGAGGAAGCTACTCTCCTTGCCCGCCTGGTAACATTGTCCAAAACCCGGTCCATGTCACCATGACTTACTTACGTCATGCTCGTGGTGATCAATGAAACCAATGTAAAAAGCTATCAAGCGAGTTTAGACAATTAAAATTCAACGTTTCAGAAGGTAGCATCACAAATTGTCTTTCAGTGCAGATGTTATTTCCCCCCCCCCTTTTTTTTTTTAAAGACCATCTCATGTCGGATGTAGGGGCTCAACATTCTAATGCCTGCTAACGGTAATACAGTATTACATTCTGTTCGGAAAATGTTGTGGCTATAAATCTACTGAAAAAAAATGAGACTACGTCGAAAGTTTTTTGTGTTGGGCCATCCCTTCCATCTTCTGATAAGGCCAAAAGTTTTTGTGTTGGACCATCTCTCCCATCTTCTGATAAGGCCAACAGTTTTTGTGTTTGACCATCTCTCCCATCTTCTGATAAGGCCAAAAGTTTTTGTGTTTGTCCATCTCTCCCATCTTCTGATAAGGCCAAAAGTTTTTGTGTTGGACCATCTCTCCCATCTTCTGATAGGGCCAAAAGTTTTTGTGTTTGTCCATCTCTCCCATCTTCTGATAAGGCCAAAAGTTTTTGTGTTGGACCATCTCTCCCATCTTCTGATAAGGCCAACAGTTTTGTGTTTGACCATCTCTCCCATCTTCTGATAAGGCCAAAAGTTTTTTTGTGTTTGACCATATCTCCCAAATTCTGATAAGGCCAAAAGTTTTTGTGTTGGACCATCTCTCCCATCTTCTGATAAGGCTCACGGCCAATGTAATACCGATGAAGCAATGAAGGAAACACCACTGAGTATCTTCTCTTATAAATGCGGCCCTAACATTCTGACTTTGGTTTCGCGGTTGGTACGGTGATTACAAACCCAAGCTTGCAAAAACTGACCACCAGTCTAGAGTAGAAGAACTAAAGAATGCTTCGCTGCTTAAAACTTAACTAGTTTTTTTTTTAGTTTTAATATATGGTCGAATTTATGCACTGTATCAGCAAAATCTCCAGCTATAGTTTGGCAGCAAAACCTCCAGCTATAGTTTGGCAGCAAAATCTCCAGCGATAGCTTAGCAGCAAAATCTCCAGCTATAATTAAGCAGCAAATCTCCAGCTATAGTTTGGCAGCAAAACCTCCAGCTATAGTTTGGCAGCGAAATCTCCAGCGTTAGTTTAGCAGCAAAATCTCCAGCTATAGCTTAGCAGCAAAATCTCCAGCTATAATTAAGCAGCAAATCTCCAGCTATTTTTTAGCGGCAAAATCTCCAGCTATAGTTAAGCAGCAAAATCTCCAGCTATAGTTTAGCAAGAAAATCTCCAGCAATAGAAACATTGAAAGGTAAATGTTAAGTGTTAAGTAGCAAAACCTTGAATTTCATTTCATTAGCGTGGCATTTTATCGGTGAATTTCCCTGTCCCCAAGCGTAGCAAGTGTTAGTCTTCTGTGCCATTTCCAAGAAAAAGTGCAAATATCGCAAAGACGATTCATTTGATTTTTAACATGATTGTATTCGATGGATACACACTAATCTATTTAGTGCACCCCTCTCCGTCACTAATGTACAAAACATTCACACGGCATATAGTCACAAAACAGGTATTGTAGACAAGGGTCACGTGACATGGCTAAAGATGACAGACTAAAATGGCGTCAGGATAATTTTTCCTCTTTTTCCGTTGCTCCGGGCTGCCTTGGCTCAATATTATACGTTGATTACGATGAAATAGTTGCACTTTTTGAGTGTATAAATAAGGACAATGCAAATTTTGATTTGAGAAGTAGTTTTGATTTGCATTTCGTTTACAGTGAAGGAGACTTGCTCAATTTGCCATCCTCACGCTCTCGTGCTGCGTTATTTGACTCTTTGGCAAGACTTAATCAAGACGACCGCAAATAAACCAGGATGCAGTAGATGATCAGCGATGTTTCTAGTTTCATTACTGTGCTCCTTATGCGTTGTAGTTTGCAGGAGTTGTCGGAATTTCATCGTGCCAATGTCATACTACCTACGGCACTCCATATGCGGGTTTGATGTCAGAGTTTGCATTATCTTAGATGAGTTGCCATCTGAGTTTAACGAGTTCCATCCACGCAAGGTGCTGGTGAGGGTTTTGATTTTGCTGGGGATTGAACTCCATTCCACTTGGCTTGGGATTGACTGAGCTAATACCACTATACACTTGGGTATAGTGGTCTTAAACTTTTTTTCCGGCCACCGCGCTCTTGGGACCTTCTATCCTTAAACTGACACTTAGCACCCTATATATCAGCATGCTCAGAATAACATTTTGCAGCATCCTCTAGGTTAGTTACTGGGTTTTTTTTATTTATTTATTTTTTTACATTTTAATTTTTTATTTTTAATACATATATTTTTCAACATTTTATTGCGACCAGATGTTGGCGATGATACGTGCCCAAAGCGCTAAGAATAGATTTTATATTTTTAGATTTCAAACAATTGTATTTTCAAAAGTACGAGCTCTATTGAGGAAAAATGTCCTGTCCTGCCATAGCTAATAAATTTCCCTTTGTTGGTCGGTGATTTTGCAATCTACCGTTTAAATAGTTTACTTCTGGCTTACAAACAAACAAAAAACTAAGCAGTTGGATCAGTTGAGATGAACATTTAAGTGTCACAGAAACGCCTCGGCCTTGATTAACAAAGCGGTGTATTTTTTTTTTGCTTTTCTTTTTTTTCTTTCTTTCTAACTCTGACGATAACATAAAGTGGTTCTAAGTACTTCGAGCGTCTCGTCAGATTGCTTGGTTCATTTTTTAAAGACAGTAATGTATCTGTAAAACGAGATCGTGTCTGTCTTACACCTGAGGGTCTCCTCAATTCATTCGTGACTTATCTTATGGGTACAATAGTTAAATGAAATTTAGCTTACCCCCCTTTTGCTGTGGTGACATTTTTTGTCTTTTATTTTATTTATTTTTTATTCAAAAAAATACTTCAGGATTTTGTATATAGCGTATAATGTTGTTCAATTGCCAAAAAAAAAATTAATAGTCCAAATTGAAACTGTTTTGTTTCCTCCTGAAACCACGTGAGCAGAAAGTCACTAGCTAGCTTTCATGGTTCTTGAGTAAATAAAGTTAAAATATATATAATTTACAAATTGCGATTTCATAGAAATTTCGCTTAAGGACTTCTACATGTCATTTTTATATATTTTGCTTCTGGTGCGTTTTTTTTCCTCTTCAAAACACCCCTATGCACACACTCGAAATGTTTTAATATTAGTAGAACTGAGTGAAAAAAAAAAAAAAAAGACTGTCACGCGACGAGCTTCGTGCGTCACGCCTGAACCTCTGCAAATAGGTTTATTATATTTTTTTAGAAAGAATTATTTTTTTTTCTCACATCTTTGATCGGGGGCTGCACACTACAAAGAACTTGGTCTCGGGCCATCTTTTCCACTTCGAGCATATGTGCCCCTGTGCGCCTCTTGCCTGGTGCAGGAAGGTATTGCTATTTTCGTTATACTGCAGCTGTTGTTTCGTAAGGCTTTCTAATAAAATGAACGACAGTATATTCTCTGTCGACTGTTTTTTTTTTTTTGGTTCTACGTCATCTCTATTCCGAGATCTAGCAGCTGCCTGCTCTTATCAGTGGGTTATTTCTTGACACAGTTTGACACGGTTGACGAAGGCAATGCATTCTCACTACGACACAGGGCAGTAGATTTTTTTGCATATTATAGAAAATGAGACGTTGACTATTTTTAGTGCATCACTTGGACCCATTGGGTATATTCTCAAAATACCCGGACCCGGTGTCAAAAAAAAAACTATGCGCGGTTTGCGCTAGTCAAAACAATAAACGTTACAAAACGAAATTGTCGACTCGCCTGCGGCTTTTACCTATTATTTATGGCCACAAAAAAAGATTGATTTCTTCAGCTGTTGAGTTGAATCAGTATTTTAATAATAGCAAATTGTTTTTACTATACCCTTTGACGATACCAATACTACAGCTAGTTATTTTTTTTTTATACGGATGACTTTAGAGTGGAAACTGGAGTGAGACAAGAAAATATCTTGTCCTCCTTCCTATTCATCTTCGACATTGATTGGATAATGAAAAAATCCACACACAAAAAAGAGAAATGGGATACAGTGGACACTCTAGGAACAACTAAATGACCTAGATTTTGAAGATGACATTGCACTTCTGTCCCACAACCAGCAACAAATGCAGGAAAAGACGAAAGACGTAGCCATTATTTCAGCACAGCTTGGAATCAATATAAATAAAAGCAAGATGAAGATCATGAAGGTAAACTCAGCCAACCAAGAGCATATCTCTCTGGCAGGAAAGACACAGGAAGAAGTAGAGTCCTTCACATACTCAAGCAGCACCATCGACATAAATGGTGGATTCGAGACCGACGTAAGGGCCAGAATTGGAAAAGCTAGATCAGCATTTTTGCTATTAACGAAAATATGGGAGTCGAAGAAGCTAAAACTGCAAAACAAAGTCAGAATTTTTAACTCTAATGTCAAAAGAGTTCTACTATATGGAGCAGAAACTTGGAAAACAGCAGCGAGCATTCATAAACACATGACTTAGATAGATCCTGAACATCAAATGGCCAAATACCATCACTAACAAAGATCTACTGGAAAGGACTTACCGGTGCCCATCGATGAAGACATCATAAAGAGAAGATGGAGGTGGATAGGGCATACGCCTTCCAAAATCTGAAAAGCCCCAGATAGCATCACCAGACAGTCTCTAACATGGAATACGCAGGGAAAAAGAAAGAGAGGAAGGCCAAAGAATACATGGAGACGGGAGCAGACATGAAAAATATGGGACACACCTGGAAGCAACTGGAAAGGAAAGCACAGGACCGTGATGAATTGAAAATTATCGTGGACGGCCTGTACCCCAGATGGGGTAAAAAGGCATATGAAGAAGAAGAAAACGATTGAATTTCTAGACTTTCTGTTCAGACGTGTTTTAACTCCGTCACTATAAATAGGCCGGTCGATTGTGACAATGTTTGCCAGACTAAGAATTGCCGGACAAGACTTACTGATTTTTTAACTCTTGTGAGAGGATTAATATTTGTACCTTTCTAGTATTATAATGTTTACTTGCTGTGCTGTAAGTCATTATAGATTTCTTTATGTATATTTAATTTTGTATTTTAATTTAAACTTAATTGTTTAATTCAATTTAAACTTGTTAGTATCACTAGCTTTGGTTTCGTATTCCTTTGTATGTTGGGTTTTTAGCAGTTTTTAAGGATTGTTCATCTAACAAGACACATCTTAAAACAGATTACATTTGTAAAGCCATATTACCGTACGTAAAACACAACAATTAACTCCCAAATGGTAATTCTGTTCATAAGGTACCTATGATAGGTCAGGTCAAGATAATGATGGTAATGATTGAGGTGAACGATGTAGAAACAACAGGATCACTGATAGAGGGGATTAGGCTTAACTTTTTTTGTATGTGGAGATTTTAGACTAGTTCCTGTAAAAACAAAATAGATATGGAAAATGAAAAACAATGTTAAAGTAAAGTATTACGCTTAAACAGCTATTTTAGAATACTTCCTGGTTGTGACAGATGAGTGTAGTGTACTGTGACATTTGGTATCTCTTGTGTTGGGGGCAAGTGAAGAAATGTCTCCTCCTTATCGTGGTCAGATAGGCCTGCTACTGTTTAAAAAACTACACAGACACAATCTTGGGGTCGGTCAAGTTGTTCAGAGACACTTTATGTAATCCAACCGTATTAATATCGGCAACGTGTCTGGGTTAAAATGCAGACTGATGTTTGTCGAAGAAATTAAAGATGACATTTTATAAAAAAAACGACAAGGCAACTATTCGACCCGTTACGCAATCACTAAATTTTGTGGTTATCTAAGGTGAAACGGGAACGTCATGGGAGTGCACTTAATGAACTTGTGTCGTCTGTCAGTGTGTCATGACGACACTTGTCACATTTTCAACTTTTCACACAAGGAAACAAACAACAAGCAAAATCTTATGCCTAAAAAAATAAACGTATATTTATTATTATGTTTTATAGATTATGGGTGTATGCATATGTTTCCAATGGATGCCGTTAACAAGTTTGGCATGTACAAGATTTTTGAAAATTCGGCAATACAAAGTGTCTTCAACATCAGAAAAAATATGTAAAAATAGTTTAATTGTTTTTAAATGTAATTGCTTGAACTATACATTGTATTCTTATTAAGTATTGGAAAAAAATGTAGGTTTTTTTTTTGCAGTTATTTCCTAAAATTTAAAAGCCAAATAAGTTTAAAATTTCTTCTCACTTCCAGGCATCATTGTTTAAAAAAAAAATTGAAATTGCCGCATATGTCTGTTAAAATACAGGGGGTCATTGTTTGAACAAGTGTAAAATGATCTCATACGTCTGCTCACATCCAGTGGTCAATTGTGTTAGCCAACCTGGATGTGCTCAAAGGCAAAATTGTAATTGTCACCGCAGTTAATATGGTGAACATCGTCACAGATCAGAATCTTAGAATTGAACTGCAGGCCCTCGGGACACTCAAGGTGGTAGGTCAAGGTCGCGACACACTCGACGAAGTGCACACAACTGCCCGGGTCAGGATAGATGCCGTCTGGTAGGTTGAACTGTCTGCAAACGTTAGTTAGATCTGGGTGGAGGAAAAAAATATATATTTTTGCAATAGTTTAATATTCTTTACAAAATATCTTATATTTTAAAAATAGAAAGTTGTTTCTAGTTGATGTTTTTTTGTTTTTTTTTTAAACAGGTGCTTAGTAAATAGGTTTAGGGGTCTTGGAACGTCTCACAAAGGTATTTTACACCATTCTAACATTAGGACCTATCTCTTTATCTCCACAGTGCGGAGAAGTTCCGATAATGCAGATGGACATCGAATCTAGTTGTTAATGGCAGTCACCCATGTTGAATTTCAAATAATTATGTTACAATTTTTTTTTCAACACGTGTGATGTCCTGATGACGTCATTCGCAGCGACAGAGTTTGAGCTGAAGATATTTATTTTCAAATGTAAATTTTTTAAGCTCCTACCGTAATGTGGTGATGTGGTTGTGGCGATTTGAGATGTGGTGTAGACGTTTGTGGTGGTCTGGACGTCATTGCACGGTGCTGCGACATGTGGGCTGGCGCACTGGCCGGATATCGGGTCGTACACCAGACCGGCGGGACAGGCGACCACGGTGGTCAGATAGTTGGCGCAGATCAGATAGTAGGCACAGTCGTAAGGATGGGGGAACGTGCCAGAGTTCCAGTTGTTCTGTCTACAGACGTAGGACAGGTCTGAAACATTAGAGTCAGGTCTGTAACATTAGAATCAGGTCTGAAACATTAGAATCAGGTCTGAAACATTAGAATTAGGTCTGAAACATTAGAGTCGGGTCTGAAATATTATAATCAAATGGATAATTTATAATATTCTTATTTAAGCGTCTTTCAAGTCAGTTACAACAATTTTTACTTAACCCCAATGAGATTTAGATTAATATTCAGAGCATTACACTTTTTAACCCTCCCTTATGTTATTCAGAGTTAACCTCAGGAATTTTTTTATTTTAAAGCCAACACAGCCTGATTCACTGTTCTCATTATTTAGGAACCATTTGGGCTAATTTCATTTTAAGCTGCTTTTTTTTTTACTTTCTTTTTTTTTATCCCCCCCCCCCCATAAAAGACATTCAGAGAGAGGTCCGATAGGACGAGCCCATTAAAATATGTGCAGCCTAGCAAACAATACCCTAGGGCTCCTAATGCGAAATCTGAAGATCTGCAACTCAAGCGTGAAAACAAGCTAATAAAGCCGTTGTCCGAACACTTTTTAGAGTACGCATCTTCAGTCTTGGACCCATTCACCCTGAAGAGCATCAACAATTTGGAGGCTCTCCAATGATGATATGCACGCTTTGTCCTAAACCGCTACAGAAACACCTCAAGTGTTGGCAGCATGTTGGAAACACTGGGCTGGTCACCAGTTGAGAAACGACCACGATTATGCAGGCTCTCCATGTTGTACAAAATAAATAGTTGGCTAGCCCACTGCTCCACCATTAAACAGAAACTCGTCCCTCTCCGTCCCTCTCCCACCTAGTCAGCGACGAGGCCATGACAGACATTTCCGGCTCATAAAAGAGACCTCGGTATGGGAACTCATTTTTGTTTCTATAACAAGCTTTCCCATATCGTATTTTGATTATTTTTCATCATAGCTTTACATACAAGAATCTGTGACTGTTTACCTGCATGTGTGGTTGATGCTGGAGGTGCGGATGTGGTGTGTCCGGGGACCGGGATGTAGTCGTTGTGGTCAAGACAGGAGGTCGCCTCGTTTCGGAAGGTGCACGTGAGTTTAATTGGATCGAATACCAGGTCAAGCGGGCAGTGCATGATGTTGGTGTGCAGGAACGTGCACTCGATAAACTTGGTGCAGTCGAACGGGTGTGCATGGATGCCATTCTCCCAGTTCTGATCTTTGCAGACATTCCAGAGGTCTGGTGGAAACAGAGAGACAGATAACCTAAACATTATAAAGATTTTATTTATTATTATTTTTTTTTTTTATGTTTAATCGTAAACTCTTACAACAAGTAGTAACAGAATAAAAGTGCAACCAAAACCTAATTTAAACACAATGCACATTTAATGAGTAGATTATATAATTATATATGGCGTTTATTGAGTTTGCTTTAAAGACATGTCATTCATCTGCATTACGTAATCATTAATGAAAATAACTCATGTTTCAAACATTTTCATACCAATGAATTCAAGATTTAAAACGGGAATATATTTTGTCCGCTTTCGCGTAGTAAATTAGTAGATTATCAGCATATATTTCTTCTTCCTTTTTTAAAAAAAAATTACTCACCTCCTAGAGACACATCACTTGGAACTGTAAGATTACAAAACAAGGAATTTTTTGTTTTTTTTTAATTACATAAACAAAATTAATAAATAGAAAATAAAAATAAATCACTTTGCATGATATCCAATGGCGTTAAAGAAAATATCGTATACTAAAATGCGCTCTCTTAGACGTTCCCGCAAAAACAATCTTTCTGACAGACCTGGCATGAGGACAATACCCAAAATTGTATATTCTGCAACACGTGCACCCAATCGGTAAATGTAACATCTAAAGTATAAATAGCTGAATGCAATAAATAAATATTTACAATAATTTTAAGGTAAGCATTTTTTGTGACAATTTAAAAAAAGAATTTAATAAAATGAACAAACATATGTTTTTAAAAAAAGAAATAAAAAGATAGTGCTCACTGTCACAGGTACGGTTAGTGACTTCCTCTGCCAGGCGATGAAGTACCTCGTAGCTCGGGGCAGTGAAGATGTTGGACACGCCGCTGGAGAGAGCTACGAGCTCGGCGTAGTTAACCGCTGACCCCACCCCAATGGATATCATGTGCACGCCTCTGTCTTTCTGAAGACTCGCTTGTCTTCTGGCTGAAGGAGGAAAATTTACATTAATTAATGTTCGCTTTTTATAACGCTGAGAAGTTGCTATAACTGGATCAGTAAATGCCTGCACCATATCATTAAGTGACCACTACAAGACCGGTGATGCGTTACAAGCGGGGTGGTGTTATCCATTGACAATCTACTCAATAGCAAAATAATAAAAACATTGAATGTGTCAGACACCATAGAACTAATTGTGCCAAAGGTCAACACTCATGTACTTTCTGCCGGGTCAGTGGACTCCCCGTCGGTCATCGTGATGATGACTTGCGTTGCTCCGACACGACCCCCGGCCGCAGCACTAAACATTCCCTGGCTGGTGATCGAGCTCAAGGCGGCCCCTGTGTTGGTACTGGAGGACAGGTAGGTGGCGCCAGTAATGGCCTGGAGGACAAAATCGTTAAATTGTTAGGAGAAAAAAACAATCTTTCAAAGTTCTGGTTCGATTAACGACGTCAGTTCAACAGTTCCAAAACAATTATTTTTAAAAAAAAATAACGATCATATATTTTTTTAGAATACTAAGATAACAAGCATTGAACACTACAAATAATTAGATAACAACCATTGAACACTACAAATAATAAGATAACAAACAATGGACACAACAATAATGAGATAACAAACACTAAACACTATAAATAATAAGATAACAAGCATTGAACACTACAAATAATAAGATAATAAACACTGGACACAACATTAATGAGATAACAAACACTAAACACTACAAATAATAAGATAAACACTGAACGCCATTGAACACAATAGTTCGTGATAATATCGTTCCATCAATCCTAAGTTTAAAATAATACATGAAATAACTATTTATTAAGGGGGGAAAAGCGTGAACACTACAAATAATTAGATAACAACCATTGAACACTACAAATAATAAGATAACAAACAATGGACACAACAATAATGAGATAACAAACACTAAACACTATAAATAATAAGATAACAAGCATTGAACACTACAAATAATAAGATAACAAACACTGGGCACAACAATAATGAGATAACAAACACTAAACACTACAAATAATAAGATAACAAACACTGGACGCCATTGAACACAATAGTTCGTATTAATATCGTTTCGTCAATCCTAAGTTAAAAATAACACATGAAATAACTATTTATTTAGGGGGGAAAGCGTGCATGTAAACTTGGATATTTGTATGTAGGATGGCATTGGTAGTATTATTTAGTGGTCAGTGAATGCTATTAGTGTGCTGGTGTGTTTTAAAAGAAAAAAAAACAAAACTTTCAATAATTGTATTGTACACAAGTTAACGATGATCATTTTTTGTACTTAGGTTTTTTCAATTTCAAACAATTTGTTATTACTTGTTGTGAATTGTCTGCCGAAGAAGACATTAAGCCGAAAGTCTGTTTAATTGCCTCGTCTTTTTTTTTTTTTTTTTTTTTTTTTTATGCTAGAAATTTTTTTTTCTTTTTAAAAAAAAAAAAAAAAAAAAAAAAAAAAAAAAAAACAAGCCAGAACATTTCTTTCCCACTTTTTAATTTTTATTTTTTTGCTATTTTTTTTTTTTTTACAAAAATTAAAACTTAGGCATTTAACTGGAGAGTACACTGTAGCACGATCATCTGTTGAACTTCCTTCTTTTTGTAATTTCAGTAAAAAATTTTGAAAACCGCAGACACCTACTTCATACTTCACCAGTCCCCGCTGAAAGAACTTTTCACTATAACATGTACTGAGAAAAACTACCGTTGAACACATAAAATATTTTTAATTGATTTATATTGTGGTAAAAAGCGAACAATGCATGTTGCGATGTTAAAAAATAACAATTTTTAAGTCCCTTCTTTTTTCTATGAAAAAAAGGGGGTAAAATAGTAAAAAAACGGTCAAGATGATGAAATCGGTTCAGGTGTGAGTTTCTCGTGTTGCGTGTAAGAGAAATAGTGATAGAAGTGGGGTGGGCGTGGAATATGTTCATTGTACACACAAAATGGCTCTGCTGTAGGCATGTGGCGACCAGACATTTTCATAGTACCCGATACAGCTGAGCGTGGTCACTGTGCGTCGACAGGTCAAAAAGCTTTTGGACTCCCGTGCCAAAGATTATGGCGGCAAACCTGACGTCGTTTGGTCCCAGCCGGAAGTTCTGGGTCAAGTTGGCGGCGAACTGCAGCTGTGTCTGGTAGTTGGAGTATCCGATGCTGCTGGAGGAGTCCAGGACAAGTATGACGTCGGCGATTGTAAGGTTCTTGCATGTCGTAGTGATAACTGGAACATTTACATGAAATGAGAACCCTTGACCCTTGTAACAAGAGTGGATGAATTGTGATTGGCTGTTAAATAACCAATCGAGCGCTGTATGGATAACCTGTTTTAAATTTCAACTTTAAATATTTAAGATAGCTATGCTTGTTGAAGGCTGTAACAGAGTAGAATGTCGAGTTTACCACTACATGACCGCTCGATATAAACACGTTCAGCACAAACACTGGCGATCATGTTGTACTATACCACGCCACATTTATTGTCACCAAGTCTCATTTATTATACCTTATTTTATATACCACGCCACATTTATTGTCACCAATTCTCATTTATTACACCTTATTTTATATACCACGCCAAATTTATTGTCACCAATTCTCATTTATTATACCTTATTTTATATACCACGCCACATTTATTGTCACCAATTCTCATTTATTATACCTTATTTTATATACCACGCCACATTTATTGTCACCAAGTCTCATTTATTATACCTTATTTTATATACCACGCCACATTTATTGTCACCAAGTCTCATTTATTATACCTTATTTTATATACCACGCCACATTTATTGTCACCAAGTCTCATGTATTACACCTTATTTTATATACCACGCCACATTTATTGTCACCAAGTCTCATTTATTATACCTTATTTTATATACCACGCCACATTTATTGTCACCAAGTCTCATGTATTACACCTTATTTTATATACCACGCCACATTTATTGTCACCAAGTCTCATGTATTACACCTTATTTTATATACCACGCCACATTTATTGTCACCAAGTCTCATGTATTACACCTTATTTTATATACCACGCCACATTTATTGTCACCAAGTCTCATGTATTACACCTTATTTTATATACCACGCCACATTTATTGTCACCAAGTCTCATGTATTACACCTTATTTTATATACCACGCCACATTTATTGTAACCGATTCTCATTTATTATACCCTATTATATATACCACGCCACATTTATTGTAACCGATTCTCATGTATTATACCTTATTTTATATACCACGCCACATTTATTGTAACCGATTCTCATTTATTAAACCTTATTATATATACCACGCCACATTTATTGTAACCGATTCTCATTTATTATACCTTATTTTACATACCACGCCACATTTATTGTAACCGATTCTCATTTATTACACCTTATTATATATACCACGCCACATTTATTGTAACCAATTCTCATTTATTATACCTTATTATATATTCCACGCCATTTATATTGTAACCGATTCTCATTTATTATATCTTATTATACCACTTCAAATTTATTAATTATACCACTCCAAATTTATAAATTTATTATATAATTATATTATTTATTATTACATAATTATACCAAAATTAATACAATTTACACAAATATTTAAAAATATATCTTCAATTTATAATTTTAAAAACTAAATTCAGTAACCAATATTGAAAAAAAAATGTGAATTATTTTATTGTTGGCAAACTAATATTTAAAAAATACGGAATTAAAAAAAATATTTCGGTCCCGATATTAGTTATCTACCTTTGACAACAGTTATCTTACCTTCGTTGCATGTTCTTATAGTAACTTCCGCTTCCAGGGTGTGCAGCACGGCGAAGCTGTCAGCCTGGAAGACATCGAGCTGTGTGCTCGCAATGGCCAGGAGCTCGTCCCGGTAAGCATCGGCAATGCCGATGGCCAACACGTGGACACCGGCACTCTTGAGTAGGTCGGCCTCGAGGGCCGTCAGGTCGAAGTTGCCGGACTCCCCGTCCGTGAGGACGATCGCGATGTGGGGCACGCCCTGTCGCGCGCCGTTCGATGCGTTAAATGCATACGTTCTGGCGAACTCCAGGGCAGCGAATGTGTTCGTGTATGCGGCCATGTAGGTTGTGTTGAGAATAGCCTGGAGAAGGGAAATTCGGTCTTGAAATAAAAAAAAAGTTTAAATAATTGAACTATTAGTAGGTAATGTCTTTCCTAATGGAAACTACATTTAAATATCCCCTATTAGAGACCGACCGAATTACGGTTTCGGTTCAGTTTCGGTTTCTACCGAAACAGGGAAAGTTAACTTGAGGTTGATTTTCGATATCGGTCGAAAGTAATTTAGGCTTTCTGTTGTCCACTAGAATTCAATCTTTCACTCAGTCTATCTGTCAACCGGCAATCCGATATTCAATATTTCATCGGAAACTGTCGACAGTCGAAGTGAAAACCATGTTGTGCCGCTGTACAAAAAAAAACAGTTAAATAGTTACCCCAATGAGCCACTTCTGCCTCGAAAGACCACCGATATGTATGCGTATTGGCAATTGGCATTTAAGTCAATAACCACTTCCTTAAGGCGCTGCACGCGTGCATTTGTCTGTACCGCCCACCAGCGTGGCAAGTGAGCAGTTGTTTAGCTGCAGCAAGACAGCTGCATGCAGACCGACATGGTAACCTACTGTGCAGAGAAACTGTTGGTTCCAAACCTCAACAATCGTTTGTTTGACTTCAGTTGCCAACCACTTAGCACTGAACGATTCAATGAGTCTCACACTGCAAGTGTAGGTTTGTAATGACTATTTCTGGTTTTCGGATTACTTACTAATCATTTAAGCATTGTTGATCATGTAAACTTTTTTTTTTAGTGCATCATTGTTTCATGAAAAAATATTTAAAATCTCTTGCAGGGTTAAATATTTTTATGATCTCGGTGTCAGCCGAAATTCGCTTTAAGCTTTTGGTTTCGGCTTCCATTTCTGACAAAAGTCATTTTTTAAAATGTTCGGCTTGGTTTCGGTTTTGGCCGAAACGAGAAAATCAATCAAATTCGGTCGTTATCTAAACGCAAAGAATAAAGTAAATGACTTAAAATGTTAAATTAGTGTAAGGATACCAAGTTATTTTCAGGTAATCAACATTTTTCTGCTAGTTTGAAAATATCTGAACACATTTTATCTGATGCGAGAGAGAGAGAGAGAGAGAGAGAGAGAGAGAGAGAGAGAGAGAGAGCATTTCATTGATGGGTTTCCTCGTGATATTCCGATGTGTCTGCTACATTACCGAATACCGGATGCCGTTTACAGAAGTTCCTACAAGGGATGAGGGGCGCCGCCATCTTGGATTTCTACCCGTCTGCAGTTGCAGGACACAACGTTCGACCAGATGACCGGAAATGCTAAAGAGAACACAGGGAATATCTCTTAAGCCAATCGCTCACGAAGGGCACTGACATGCCTTCATGACGTTATGTGTGGTTTATGGCCCATGCCATCTCGGTCATTTTGGATGCTCTGGGGTTAAACTGACACCAAAAACTGACAACGTTAAAGGTGTGTTGTTGTTTTTTTTTAACTGTGCTGGGTCGAAAATGGCCAAACAGATTCGCTGCAGCACATGGAATCAGTGGTTGTTTCGGGTTTCAGGTGACATTGATTCCTTTCCGCGCCCAAACCCCAATAACTCTAAAAAAAGCAAAAAACAAAAATTATTTCATCCATTTAATACAATCACACCTCGGTTTTGCGCCCCTGCTAGTACTTTGCACGGGGACATCTGTCCTCCTCTCCCTACCCCAGCTACACTCATAGGGCTGTCACTTCCCTTCTTCCCCCCGTCCTCCTTGAAAATCTGAAAAATCACCCCCCTCCCCTTGAGGAAATTGGCTGAAAGAGACACTGCATGGACTCTACCTCATTGTGTGACATGGCATTAAGTTTACAATTGAATCTACCCCAAATTGCGCTGATCCACATTTAAAGACAACGAAACACCAATGCGCGGTAAATAGTTACAAACTCACCCAATTATATATACGTATGTGTGCGTGTGTTAACAAAACTAAGACATGCATTCATTACTGGCTTGTATTTGCTCATTCAACTGTCCCATGTGATAACTTCACTCACGTGCTCGAGCGCTAAGTGGTCAGAGAACGTGTTGAAGGCAAACACGTTCTGGACCGCTGACGAGAACACGATAGCGCCGAACTGGACGTTGTTGGGGCCCAGGGTGAAGGGCTTGGTCAGTCCCGCCACAAACTGCAGCTGTGTGGTGAAGTTGTGGATGCCGATGCTGGACGAGGCGTCCATGATGAAGAGGATGTCGCCTCTGGAAGTATTCTTACATTCTGGTGCTGGTGTAGGGGTTTGGGGGAGGTGTGGGTGGGGGGAGGGGGAGATAAATCAAAGATAAATTCAGGTCTTAAAATTTCATGTAATTAATATGTTGCTTAAAATTTTTATTGAATTAATTGTTGTTTTTTAAAATTATTAAGCTGCTCAATATTGTTGAATTTCAAAAAGACTGTTCAATCCATTATTCAATTTAGCAGTCGAACATTCCAAAGAGTTGCCGAATAAATTAACTTTAAGGACCTTGAGTATAAACCTAATTAAAATACTACTGCTAAAGTTGGATGATTGTCGAATGATAGCATTTTTATTTGGATGGGCCACTAAGGGGTAACTAATGGGCCTCTAAGGGGCCACGAATGGGCCATCACAAAAAAATGATCTTCACTGAAATAAATGAAAGTTGCATTTAAGGTGTTTTTGTCTTAACAGTTAGGTGACGCTCAGATAAATCTCACCCCTGGAATTGTCCCATTAACTGGGAAATCTCTAATATGATTATTTAAGGAACCACATCAAATATAGTAAATATTGTAGCCAAGGGGAGTAAGGTTTAGATCGAAATACTTTGTAAAATTATTTGCCATGGCAACGGTGCAGCGTACTTGCTCTTTCCGTGATGTAGTTAAGATTGACGACTTACCAGAAGTGACGGGGGCAATAGTAGTTTTAATGTCGCTACACGGGGCTGCTATGGTCGAATCCACACATGTTCCTCGGATAGGGTCAAAAGACTGGCCAATCGGACACGCCGAAACTGACGTGACGAATCCGTTGCAGACGACATACCATGAGCAGGTGTCCGGGTGCGGGAAGGTACCGACGGCCCAATTGTTTTCAAGGCAGATATTTTGACAGGCTTCATGAAGATAGGGGAAATAGGACCATAGTAAGGAAAGAACATGGTAATGTAAGAACATGGCAATGAAAGAACACAGTAATGTAGGAACAAAGTAATGCAAGAAAATAGTAGTGTAAGAACATGGGAGTGTAAGAATATATAATGTTAGAAAAATGTAAAATAAGAACATGGTAAAGCCAGAATATAGTAATGAAAACAACATGGAAATATAAGAACATGGTAATGTAAGAACATGGTAAAATAAGAGTATAGTGATGTAAGAACATGGTAAAATACGAAGAAAGTAAAGTAAGAACATAGCATTGCAAGAACATAATAATGTAAGAACGTAGTAATGTAAGAACATAGTAATTAATAAAATAGTAATGTTATTAGAGACCGGCCGAATTTCGGTTTCAGTTTTTTGCGCCGAAAGTTGAATTATGATCATTTTCGGCGTACTTTCGGTTTCGCCCGAAACATAAAAGCTAACTTTCGGCTTTTTAAGTAGACGACGTGTTAATATCACATTTCCCCAGTGCTGTGAACTATAGCTGACCCAAATTCGCCTTCGTTAGTATTGGGCGTGGCTTATTCCCTTTGATCTTGGTCTTGTTTAATACCAACTAAATAAAATGAATAGTCTGTATTTATCAGATTCTTGTAGAAAAATCTGGAGAAAACTAGAAAGGAAAACAATGTGTAAGGCATATCCAGATGCGTCGGTAGACCATACTATATATAAATATATATATATATATATATATATATACACATATATATGGTACTTCAATTTTAATTCACAGCAAAAAATTATTATTATTCAATTTTATTCACATTTCCAATAACACTAAAACACATGTTTTTCTTTACATGAAAACGTTTCATTTAACGCAAATATCCTTGTAAATTATTTCACATTTCTATTACCGATACAGTAAAACATTTCACACTTCCAATAAAACAAATGTTCTTTTGCATTAAAACATATTTACTTCTTTTTGCTACTGTGGTGGCAAAATTGAACAATATCATCTAGAATGGCGTTGAATACCATTCGAACCATTTGCTTTAACTTCAACACGTCGTCGCCAAATGAACCCACACATATAAGAATCGAGCATATGTCTGTATGTGCAATTGTTGCTCTCTTTTGACAATTTCCACGCATGCTCGATGCGTTGAGTATTGGCATTCCGTTAACTGTGTGGTTGTTAGCACATTGTCTACTGACAGCATGTATTAATACCGTGAATAATTTTTGCGGTGAATAAAAATTGAAAAATATATTTATATATATATATATATATAAGGGGATTCAGAGAGCGATAGAGAGATCACGAGATATTTTTACTTCACGAGACAAGAGTGTTTATTCAGTGTTTACCTAAATGTGTGAATTCGCATTCATGATTGTACCTCATTTTTGGCACATTGTTTTAACTGTGTACCGATACAAGAAAAACCATACTCTGTAAGTTGATTATTTTAATTGTGCTTCTTTTATTGCCATAGTAACTTAATAATAACTTGTTAATTGCGGTTAGCAATGTTTTGAGTGTCGTATTCTTTGTTATTGTTTTTATCATTTGCTATCTTCTTGTTAAGCACTGTTTTGGAACGAGCCATACATGTAAATAGAAGATTAAGTTCTCCCTCCGGATAGCAGTACGTAACAAGCTTATTTTCAGTTTCGGCTGATAGGGGTTGAGACTTTTCGCCTTCTTTCTTTGGTTTCAGTCAAAAATCATTTTTAAATTTCTGTCTGGTTTCGATTTCGGCCGAAATCAGCAGATCACATTCGATCGGTCTCTTAATGGAACAACATTTTAATATAAGAACAAAGAACATGGTAAATTCGGAACATGGTAATATAAGAAATGGTAATGTAAGAACACAGTAATGTTAGAAATGGTAATGTAAGAACACTTTCATTTAAGAACATGGTAATGTAAGAACATAGTAATGTAAGAACATAGTAACAGAAGAACATAGCTATATAGGAACATGGCAATATAAGAACAAGGCTATTTAAGTATTTAATATTATAAGAACATCATGATTTTCAGATGATGGCAAACTTATGATATGTTAACCTAAGCCTTAACGATAATTCTAATAAAAGAACATAGCAATTTAATAGCATTGTAATATAAAGATTAGATAATATATTATATAACATGGTAGCATGTGAATATGTTGATACATTTGTAAAATGAAAATAATATTGGTAAGAAAAAGTTAAATAAAAACACTGTATCGTAATAGCATTGTAATATAAGACAATTTAAATGCAATAGAATATCCAGTAACAGTATTAACTGGGATTCAATTCAGAAGCAGATTTACGCTAAACAACTCCCACTCAATCTTTCACAGAAGCTTCGCCTGTGTAACCATACTTTCCGGTGTACGGGCCTAGCTAATTGGTGTACGTGGTCAGCTAAATGGTGTACGGGGTCAGTTAATTGGTGAACAGGGTCAGCTAAATGGTGTACGGGGTCAGTTAATTGGTGAACAGGGTCAGCTAAATGGTGTACGGGGTCAGCTAATTGGTGTACGGGGTCAGCTAAATGGTGTACGGGGTCAGTTAATTGGTGAACGGGGTCAGCTAAATGGTGTACGGGGTCAGCTAATTGGTGTACGGGGTCAGTTAATTGGTGTACGGGGTCAGATAATTGGTGTACGGGGTCAGCTAAGTGGTGTACGGGGTCAGATAATTGGTGTACGAGGTCAGTTAATTGTTGTACGGGGTCAGTTAATTGGTGAGCGGGGTCAGCTAATTGGTGTACGGGGTCAGCTAATTGGTGTACGAGGTCAGTTAATTGGTGTACGGGGTCAGCTAATTTGTGTACGAGGTCAGTTAATTGGTGTACGGTGTCAGTTAATTGGTGTGCGGGGTCAGCTAATTGGTGTACGGGGTCAGATAATTGGTGTACGGGGTCAGCTAATTGGTGTACGAGGTCAGTTAATTGGTGTACGGGGTCAGTTAATTGGTGTGCGGGGTCAGCTAATTGGTGTACGGGGTCAGATAATTGGTGTACGGGGTCAGCTAATTGGTGTACGGGGTCAGCTAATTGGTGTACGGGGTCAGCTAATTGGAGAACGGGGTCAGCTAATTGGTATATGGGGTATGCTTATTGGTGTTCGGGGTCAGATAATAGATGTACTGGGTCAGCTAATAGATGTACGGGGTCAGCTAATTGGTGTTCGGGGTCAGCTAATAGATGTACGGGGTCAGCTAATTGGTGTACGGGGTCAGCTAATAGATATACTGGGTCAGATAATAGATGTACTGTGTCAGCTTATAGATGTACGGTGTCAGCTTATAGATGTACTGGGTCAGCTAATAGATGTACGGGGTCAGCTAATAGATGTACGGGGTCAGCTAATAGATGTACTGGGTCAGCTAATAGATGTACTGGGTCAGCTAATAGATGTACGGGGTAAGCTAATAGATGTACTGGGTCAGCTAATAGATGTACGGGGTCAGCTAATAGATGTACTGGGTCAGCTAATAGATGTATTGGGTCAGCTAATAGATGTACGGGGTCAGCTAATAGATGTACGGGGTCAGCTAATAGATGTACGGGGTCAGCTTATAGATGTACTGGGTCAGCTTATAGATGTACTGGGTTAGATAATAGATGTACTGGGTTAGATAATAGATGTACTGGGTCAGATAATAGATGTACTGGGTCAGATAATAGATGTACTGGGTCAGCTAATAGATGTACTGGGTCAGCTAATAGATGTACTGGGTCAGCTGATAGATGTACGGGGTCAGCTAATAGATGTACGGGGTCAGCTAATAGATGTACGGGGTTAGCTAATAGATGTACTGGGTCAGATAATAGATGTTATGGGTCAGATAATAGATGTACGGGGTCAGCTTATAGATGCACGGGGTCAGCTAATAGATGCACGGGGTCAACTAATAGATGCACGGGGTCAGCTAATAGATGCACGGGGTCAGCTAATAGATGTACTGGGTCAGCTAATAGATGTACGGGGTCAGCTAATAGATGTACTGGGTCAGCTACTATATGTACGGGGTCAGCTAATAGATTCGGGGTCAGCTAATAGATGCACGGGGTCAGCTAATAGATGCACGGGGTCAGCTAATAGATGCACGGGGTCAGCTAATAGATGCACGGGGTCAGCTAATAGATGCACGGGGTCAGCTAATAGATGTACTGGGTCAGCTAATAGATGTACGGGGTCAGCTTATAGATGTACTGGGTTAGATAATAGATGTACTGGGTCAGATAATAGATGTACTGGGTCAGATAATAGATGTACTGGGTCAGCTAATAGATGTACGGGGTCAGCTAATAGATGTACGGTGTCAGCTAATAGATGTACGGAGTCAGCTTATAGATGTACTGGGTTAGCTAATAGATGTACTGGGTCAGCTAATAGATGTACTGGGTCAGCTAATAGATGTACTGGGTTAGATATTAGATGTACGGGGTCAGCTTAAAGATGTACTGGGTTAGATAATAGATGTACTGGGTCAGATAATAGATGTACTGGGTCAGATAATAGATGTACTGGGTCAGATAATAGATGTACTGGGTCAGCTAATAGATGTACTTGGTTAGACAATAGATGTACGGGGTCAGCTAATAGATGTACTGGTTCAGCTAATAGATGTACTGGGTAAGCTTATAGATGTACGGGGTCAGCTAATAGATGTACTGGGTCAGCTAATAGATGTACTGGGTCAGCTTATAGATGTACTGGGTCAGCTTATAGATGCACGGGGTCAGCTAATAGATGCACGGGGTCAGCTAATAGATGCACGGGGTCAGCTAATAGATGCACGGGGTCAGCTAATAGATGTACTGGGTCAGCTAATAGATGTACGGGGTCAGCTAATAGATGTACTGGGTTAGATAATAGATGTACTGGGTCAGATAATAGATGTACTGGGTCAGATAATAGATGTACTGGGTCAGCTAATAGATGTACGGGGTCAGCTAATAGATGTACGGTGTCAGCTAATCGGGGTCAGCTAATAGATGCACGGGGTCAGCTAATAGATGCACGGGGTCAGCTAATAGATGCACGGGGTCAGCTAATAGATGCACGGGGTCAGCTAATAGATGCACGGGGTCAGCTAATAGATGTACGGGGTCAGCTAATAGATGTACGGGGTCAGCTAATAGATGTACTGGGTCAGCTAATAGATGTACGGGGTCAGCTAATAGATGTACTGGGTCAGATAATAGATGTACGGTGTTAGCTAATAGATGTACTGGGTCAGATAATAGATGTTCTGGGTCAGATAATAGATGTACGGGGTCAGCTAATAGATGTACGGGGTCAGATAATAGATGTACTGGGTCAGATATTAGATGTACTGGGTCAGATAATAGAAGTGCTGGGTCAGATAATAGATGTACTGGGTCAGATAATAGATGTACTGGGTCAGCTAATAGATGTACGGGGTCAGCTAATAGATGTACTGGGTTAGCTAATAGATGTACTGGGTCAGCTAATAGATGTACTGGGTCAGCTAATAGATGTACTGGGTCAGCTAATAGATGTACAGGGTCAGCTAATAGATGTACTGGGTCAGATAATAGATGTACTGAGTTAGATAATAGATGTACTGGGTCAGTTAATAGATATACGGGGTGAGCTAATAGATGTACTGGGTCAGCTAATAGATGTACTGGGTCAGCTAATAGATGTACTGGGTCAGATAATAGATGTACTGGGGTAGATAATCGATGTACTGATGTACTGAGTTAGATAATAGATGTACTGGGTCAGTTAATAGATGTACGGGGTGAGCTAATAGATGTACTGGGTCAGCTAATAGATGTACTGGGTCAGCTAATAGATGTACTGGGTCAGATAATAGATGTACTGGGTTAGATAATAGATGTACGGGGTCAGCTTATAGATGTACTGGGTTAGATAATAGATGTACGGGGTCAGCTTATAGATGTACTGGGTCAGCTAATAGATGTACTGGGTTAGATAATAGATGTACGGGGTCAGCTAATAGATGTTCTGGGTCAGCTAATAGATGTACTGGGTCAGCTAATAGATGTACGGGGTCAGCTTATAGATGTACTGGGTCAGCTTATAGATGTACTGGGTTAGATAATAGATGTACTGGGTCAGATAATAGATGTACTGGGTCAGATAATAGATGTACTAGGTCAGCTAATAGATGTACGTGGTCAGCTAATAGATGTACGGGGTCAGCTAATAGATGCACGGGGTAAGCTTATAGATGCACGGGGTCAACTAATAGATGCACGGGGTCAGCTAATAGATGTACGGGGTCAGCTAATAGATGTACTGGGTCAGCTAATAGATGCACTGGGTCAGCTAATAGATGCACGGGGTCAGCTAATAGATGCACGGGGTCAGCTAATAGATGTACGGGGTCAGCTAATAGATGTACTGGGTCAGCTAATAGATGTACGGGGTCAGCTAATAGATGTATTGGGTCAGCTAATAGATTACGGGGTCAGCTAATAGATGTACGGGGTCAGCTAATAGATGTACGGGGTCAGCTAATAGATGTACGGGGTCAGCTAATAGATGCACGGGGTCAGCTAATAGATGCACGGGGTCAGCTAATAGATGTACGGGGTCAGCTAATAGATGTACTGGGTCAGCTAATAGATGTACGAGGTCAGCTAATTGGTGCAAACAAAAAGAAAAGAGCAGTGAGGACTTTACGCTTTTCGGCGACGAGTGTTCATCTCAAAACTAGATCTCTGACGCTTAGAATTCGTTGACGTTTTTGTTGCGTTCCTGTTTCACGTTTTCCCATTACTTTGTTTCACTTATGTCCCTTTGTTTCCTAACCCTGATTGCAGTCTCTCACCCTTATAACCATTGTTTGTTTTGATGTTCAGAGTTCAACATAGAGTCACACCACAATGTGAAATATGAACTAAGGTTGAAAGCGGAGCTTCAATTAACAATTACATTGCTGCAAAGGAGCTTGAGGCCAATGCCCTAATTTGATTGTTGTTCTGTTGTGTTTTGAATGCGAATCTGACCTATGACGTAATGGGTTTAAGAGAACTATTCCAACGTCAGATTTCAGTGTGGATCAAAAGGATAGTTGTTTCCTTGACGCCGAGTAAGTTTGTGATTAAATTATTTTTTTTTTTTTTTTAAAGTCGTGCACACCACATCATAATGTCGAGTTTCAAGGAAGAAGCTAACATACAATTTAAAAGAGAAATGCCGAGAGGGGTGCATTCGGTTTAAATGAATACGAAGTTTAAACAGCGTAGCGTAAAATACAAACATAAAATTTTTTTAGAAAACCTTTTGACGTTGATCAAATGATAAGTTGGTTTAATTAACGTAAAGTTAGCTGAGATTGAAGTATTTTAAATTCGTGCATGTCACCTCGTGATGACACATGTCACCTCGTGATGACACATGTCACCTCGTGATGACACATGTCACCTCGTGATGACACATGTCACCTCGTGATGATACATGTCAAACACAAATTCATTAAAAGTAAAGGATGTGGAAAAGGTAGCTGTACCTGAGAGACTAGTCAGTGCTGCGATGACTACCAGGTGCAACAATCTCCACCCCTCCATGTCTTGACAGTGTTAAGTTTGTGTCCGATGATTACAAACAAGATCTCCCACGACCTTTGATGCTCTCAAACTTGAGCCATGTTTTTGTGTTATCTCATGAATCATACGAGTGGAACAGTGATTGGATGTGGGGGAAAACCGAAATAAAGTGGGGCAGGGGAGTTTGGGGGGGGGGGGGGTTACAGATAATAATGGTGAGGGGGTGTAGGGTATTTTGAAATGAAATTGAGTGAGACTTAATGTATATCTGCCTTCCTCTACGAAAATCTGTCTTTCTCATGTGTATCTGCCTTCCTTTAGGCATATCTGCCTTCCGCTTTGAATAACTGCCTTTTGAATTATTCCTCAGCAAACACTACCCATCCTATTAATTTATGACAAATGGAATTATGAATTTTATGTTTATAACTAAATAATAGTAGTGAAATTTTCCAAATTACTTGGAACAATATTAGTTAACCCCCCCCCCCCCCTTTTTTTTTTAAAGTTTGTTTTGGAGCCCATGCTTCAGCTTAAACCATTGGTTCTTAACCTGGGTTCGATCGAACCCCAGGGGGTCGGTGAGCCAGTCTCAGGGGTTCGGCGGAGGTCCAAAAAGAATCAGAAAAAAAAATCATATTTTATTTTTCCTATTAAGAAGGGTTCGGTGAATGCGCACATGAAACTGGTGGGGTTCGGTACCTCCTTAAAAGGTTAAGAAACACTGGCTTAAACTGTTTCACCTCTAACAAAGCTCTGAGACATTTCTATATTGTTTTTATGTACAGAAATTTACTGAATCATTTGCTTTTCTGTGTCCCCATAACATGTAATCTCATAACGTTTAATAAATTGTAGTCAACATTTTAAGGAGTTCAGTAAGGGACAAAACTCGACTATATTTTACTGTCGACAGACATTCCACTTTCTTCGAGCTAAGAATAGTATCATACAAAACCTCATTTTCATCGCCTTGCTAATGAAAGATAGGAAATTCAGGAACTTTGTCTGGTGATTTTTGATTTGTTAATTATTTCCCTTTTGTCAGCCAAAAGAAATGGAGGACTTGTAGATATTCTTACAGGGGAAATTTTTAAAAAATAAATAAATATGACATGAAAAACATCATTCAAGTACATGTATGCAGAAAATAATAAAGTACACAGTACCATATGCTTTATACCATGTACATCAAAATTCCCCATCAACAGCTTGATCGAGTCTCATCAATATAATCTGTTCCAACTTTGTTAACTACTGGCACTATTACCCGTCTTAATTAACTTGTCTTCCTATATTACATTCTTCAGATTTCATTTCACATAAACTAAGAGTTGTCAAAAAATTATTTTAAAAATACTAACTAGCCCCCGAAAGCAAAGTTTTTCCTATAAATCCTTTGTATGCATTTTTTAAATGTTATATATTCTAATGTCCCACCCCAGTTTATACAGCATATTTATTTCACTAACTATTTCAGAAAACCAAAAGATAATATACGCAACTTACGCACTTGTGATATTTTTTTAAAAAGAGTCTCACATTAGCGCAGTCATCGGGATTTTTATTTTGTGAAGTCAATCTCATCTTATTTCCTCCATCTTCCCCTTGGAAACCCCACCCCCCCCCCCCCCAAAAAAAAAACAACGTATTGTTGGGGTTCGGGGTTAGGGCTTAAAATGTGATAGAATGTTTTGTCTTCGGAACCAGTCTATGTGCAAATTGTCAGCTGAATAGGTAAACGGGAAGTGGGTCTAATTTTAAAACTTCCTTTCATTTTGTACAAAATGTAAAAATGTTAACGAGTGCTTAACGACATAGTATGAAAAGGAAAAGCCGCTTTAGAGGAAGTATCTCTTAGCGTCTCATCCAAAAATACAATCTAGGAGCATTGTGCTAGTTCCATTTAACTTAGTTCAACTTAATTTTTTTAATATAGCCATACACACAAAAAAATGTATCTACTTTTGTTGAGCAAAATATCATGTGATTAAGAAGATGACTAAAAGATACAGGCCACGCATCATTACAAAATGTCTAAGGCCTGACTCAAACTAATGCTCGGAAGAGACAAACATACGCGTTGAACGTGGTGCAGCACAAACTTTTTAAATGTTTGTTATAGCCAGAGTAAGGGGTTTGTTTGTTTGTTTTATTTTTTTGTTGTTCTTTTTAAAAAAAAAATAGGTCTTAAATTCGAACAAGATTTTGTTTTAATCAAGTGGACTCAGGGTCTATAATTTTTTTTAAAAAGATCCACAATCATAAATTGCTTACATCGATGTTGACCTTGAAACTAGATTGATAAGACTAATGGTGGTTGTTTTTTTTTTTTTTTTTTTTTTTTTTTTTAATTTTTTTGGAAATATTTTTGTTTTTTTTTTTTTTTTTTTTTTTTTTTTTTTTTTAGACTGTTCTGGAACAATGTCGATGTTTTGGTAACTTGAATGCACAAGATGGAAGCTTTAGTCATTCTTCTTCTACCAACAGTCTTCACATTCAGCCTTAGTCTCACAGGTAAGGTTGAATTTACCGTATAATGATGTTTTTTACTTCAAAAATAAATAGGTGGACACGAGTAAAAATAGAATCGTTTTAAAAACACATCCAGTTGTCAATGGATGAAAATACAATTAATGGGTTACATATTAAAACAGTTTGGAATGTTTAACAATCCACACTCTGAAAATATCCTCTTGCACTTAAAGTATTTAAGTATTAAAGTATTTAAATCTCCGGTTTCCAAAACATAAATGGTGACACCCCCCTTACCCCCCCTCCTCCACAAACCCAAACCAACTGGCGTCACTGAAGGTTTTATGTGGGGGGTCGCCAGCTCAAACAGTCAACTAAGAAACATACGAATTGAAAGGAGCTTATAATTTTTAATCCGATCTGTATTTGTTTTTCCTAATAGCGTAAGATTTTTAAAAACACTTTTATCTAGCTTGCACTTTTGTCTGTGTGTTGGTTTATCTGTGTGTGTGTTTCTCTGGGTCAAATCATGTAACTTAATTTTCGACCTTTTCCTTTCGTCCCACTGATTTGAAATTTTGCATGGTTTCTCAATTCTGGTGACAACAGAACCTTTCATGGAAGGAAATGCTGCAAGAAATCAAAACAAGATACAATAGATGGGTAGTTTAACAAACATGGAGTCTGCTGTTTCGCCATTTTGTGCATTTCTTTAAAGTTGTTTAGAGGAACTTCTGAGTACACTGAAATTCCAAATTTCAGCGTCTAAAAGATGAGGGAGATGTCTTTGTGCGTGGAATTTAAAAACAGATCAGTGACAGTCTCCCTTTCATGTAAAGTATTTTCTTTCTTGTTGCATTTCCTGACGTGTCTGGTGACAACGCTTGTATTTTTGTAGGCATGATTAACTCTAAGAAAATCCTCGGACGTCTCATAAAAGTATTTTCTACTTTTTTAGTGGACTTTATAAAAGGGTGACTTAATTAATTTTTTTTTTAAATATTATTTTATCTGTATAAAACGTTTTATTATTTTTTTTTTAAAAAAAGGAAAAAAGAAACAAACAAACAAACAAAACAGAGACGTGGCTGGCCATAAGATCCAAGTTTGGAGACCTGTAATTCAGAGAAAGAAATTCGAATTCTTTTTTAAATCCTTGATATTAACTTCGCTTTTTTTGTGGCTGGCAAAATCATCGGACGGCTAATTGTCCCACCTCCCGCCAACCTATCGAGCTGAATCTCGGCAATTAGATTCGTTGCGCTGGCAACACATTCTATCAAATTATCAGCCCCATCTCCAACAGTTTGCCTGTTTTTCGATTGGGATTATGAAGGAAATATGATGACACTTGTAATGAATCATAAACGTGTGGGTTATGATGTTACTTGTAGAGTTGTAGTTATCGCTCACACTATTCATACACATTTACATACGTCCATGATTATCCAAACAATTACTGAATTACCAGAGAACTCATTGAATCAGCATCACGACCAATGTTCCCTTTAAGCTGCGTGGCTCCGCGGCCGCGCAGCTATCTCACATACGCCGCGCAGTAGTTTTGAGTACCGCGCAGCAAATTTCCATGCATGTGTGCGTTTATGGGCTGTAAAATTTTGCACACAAAAAAATTGATGCTGTAAAACTTTGCACACAACTTTATGATTTTGCACACGAACCAGCAAACCTTAGAGGGAACATTGGTCACGACGTTTATGGACTGATCCACGAACACATAATAAAATGATATCTCTGTAGATCAGCGTAAAAATATAATTCTTCATACCACTTCTTCCATTTCACAATCAACATTGAGATGCTGTTTAATAACTAAATGACCGAAGCAAGTGCTAATGGAAAAAAACCTCCAACCGTCACTGTCACTTTTCTTTTATCCCATAATTCCTTAACTTCCTGGTTAATTTTTTTTTTACTTAACAAAACAATACATTTTTTTACAAAAACCAAATTGATATCTAAACATTTGATCTGTAACAACACTGTATGACGAAATAAAATTCCCGATAACTGCGCATAATGAGATTCTTGTTAAAAAATATATCGCAAGTGCGTTTGGCGTGTAATATTTTATTTTTCTAAAATAGTTGGTCAAATAAATCTACGGTGTAATAGCGGGTTGGTTGTTAAAATATTAATATAGTTCATAGGCGTGAAAAAATGTGCGGTTGCGAGCCTGGGGGAGGGGGGTAGCACTAAAGGGAATTCTTAAATAGTGCTTTACTTGCATGCATTTTTTGTCAAATTTTCAGCCCAACCCCACATTGCTCCATGTTAAATTTTATAAAGGATTGATGCGAAAAACTTTGTCTTTAGGGATTGCTTGATAATATGGGATTTCTTATTTTAAATGCTTTCTTGCGGATCAAGTTGTTGTATGCATACAATCACATCCACTGCCCAATGTTGATGTCTCTTCATATCCAGACCAGGCACCACCGGCCTGTGACAGTCAAACTCCTACAGACGTCATACTGGTCATCGACTCGTCCAATAGCGTTGGTTACGACAACTTCCGGACCCAGCTGCAGTTTATGGCCAACGTGACACGACACTTCAACATCGGCTCCGATCGGTTTAGGTTCGCAGCTCTGGCGTTTTCAACAGGTGTCCAAAAATTATTTGACCTCAGAACCTACCAAGACACCGTCTGGATAGACCAGGTAGTGACAATGACTGAGCATCTCAGACATTTGTACAACTTTATAGTCGGTTCTTCAATTATCTATTAACTTTAGTAGAAGTGCTAAGCGTACTTAGTGGACAAAGAAGTCGTAAAGTTTTATATATGCACTTGGAATATCATGTCTTGGTAATCTACTTATATATACTTATATGTATATATATATATATATATATATATATATATATATATGGTTGGTTAATTATTTAATTACTTAAGCCTTTACAACTCAATATCCATTAAAAATTATCCAGTTAAAATTTTACAAAGTTAACATGTAAAAAAAAACAACATAACTTTCATAATGTGGTGTCGAATCAAGAGTTTAGAGGTACAGTTATCAGTAAGAGTTTACAATCTAGGAAAAGCTCTGGACTGGCAGTACTCTAAGAAAGGAAGAAATCAAAAACAATTTTAGTTCAAAATCCACGTCATTGGTCAAAGTTTAGCTTCTCCCTAAAAGGTCACGTGACAAAACATGCCAAAAAGAATCATTGCATGTCCAAGGGTTCATGCTTGTTCAATGTGGCATACCTTGTCTAACGTGATCACCGCCCCCCCTTCCACCCATAGATATGATAATGTAGAGATTATAAACTACATGAAATGTTTTATTTAAATATGCAATTTTTAATATTCATGTTTTTGTTGTTTTTTGTTGTTTGTTTGTGTGTGTGTGTGTGTGTGTGTATGTGTGTGTGTGTGTGTGTGTGTGTGTGTGTGTGTGTGTGTGTGGGTGTGTGTGTGTGTGTGTGTGTGTGTGTGTGTGTGGGTGTGTGTGGGTGTGTGTGTGTGTGTGTGTGTGTGTGTGTGTGTGTGTGTGTGTGTAATTGAACAGCCCAGATCGGTTTTATTCTTAATATATGTTCCAGCCAACCACTCGTCGTGTTATTTTCTAGGCCCTACTTGACGCCGACTATGATGCTGCTAGCACCAATATTGCTGGCGCCCTCAAATTTATAACAGATGATGGGATGTTCAACGGGTCGGCTGGTGGCCGGGAGATGGCCAAGAAACACGTCAGAATAGTGGTCCTCATTACAGACGGGGGGTCAGACAATCCCAATGAGAGTAAGGCATGTCAGTCCGAGTGAAGCTAAACTAGAACACGTCTGTCTAGGTGGAGCTAAACTAGAACATGCCTGTCTAGGTTGAGCTAAACTAAAACATATCTGTCTAGGTGGAGCTAATCTCGACTTTGTCTGTCTGAGTGTAGCCAATCTAGAACTTGTTTGTCTGAATGTAGCTAAACAAGAACTCGCTCACATAAGGTGGTGAAGACAGAATTGAAATCAACCCTCTATTTTTCATATTCTCTCTCTTTCTCAACCTTTCTATATCTCTCTCTCTTTCTCAACCTTTCTATATCTCTCTCTCTTTCTCAGCCTCTCTATTTCTCTCTGTCTCTCTCCCTGCCTCTCTCTCTCTTTCTCTTTCTTTCTCGCTTTCTCTGGCTCTCTTACTCTGACTCCCTCTGTCGTTAACTCTATCTTTCTCTGCCTCGTTCTCTCACTCTCATTCTGTTTCTTTCTCTTCTCTCTTCCCTCTCTCACTCTCTCTCTCTCTCTCTCTCTCTCTCTCTCTCTTTCTCTCTCTTATCCTTACGATTATTACCCCTCGTTCTCTTTCACTCACTATACATTACTTTTCATTCCTGTTTAATCCCTGTTTCACCGTTTCAGTGCATCCATTTCAGCCATCCAACAAGCTTTAGCCTTACACCAACAGCACGTCCATGTAGTGGCCATTGGGGTGGGGATAACTGGAGGAAACAAAGAGTTCACAAACATCGTCAACAATCCAAGGAATACATTCACGGCTGACAGCTACGACGTCTTAAACTTACTGGAGATGCAAGTGGTCAATCGCATCTGTGACAGTAAGTATCCCGTCTTTGTTAAGACAGTATGTAATCCGATCTCTGCCATAACAGTGTGTATCCCATCTCTGCCATGTCAGTATGTATCCCATTTCTGTCATGTCAGTATGTATCCCATCTTTTTCATTTCAGTATGTATCCCATCTTTGCCATTTCATTATCTATGCCATCTCTGCCATTTCATTATGTGTCCAAACTTTGTTATTTCAGTATGTATCCCATCTCTGTCATGTCAGTATGTATCCCATTTCTGTCATGTCAGTATGTATCCTATTAATGTCATGTCAGCATGTATCCCATCTTTTCATTTCAGTATGTATCCCATATCTATCATGTCTGTGTGTATCCAATTTCTGTCATGTCAGCATGTATCCCATTTTTTCATTTCAGTATGTATCCCATCTCTCTCATTTCAGTATGTATCCCATCTCTGTCATATCCTATCTTCGTCATACCCCATCCGTGTCATATCCCATCTCTGTCATATCCCGTCCCTACAATATCCCATCTGCCCCGCAAACATGTATTCTATCTCTGTCATGTCATCAGCGCAGGGACAGTTATTCATATCTGCTTTCACAGCAAGTATCGCATTACTGCTGTTGATAAGTTTAACTCAAATTATATTCATCCTTACAATCTTGTTCTAAAGATCATCACGTCATTTATTTGTCTCATCCAGATTCCTCACACATGGCGGCAAAACATTTCTTTTACCCTAGAGTTATTGACTATATTTTATCAACTCTTGTTTGACAATACAACAAGTAGTACAACTTACTTATCACGTGTATATTTTAATGCTTGAATCCTCCACAGTTACCCGACCAATAAGTGGTGAGTAGATCTGCCTCGTTCCTTAATGTAGCACAGCGAGCGTTATCCAAATACTAAGATAGAGATGAAAGTGTTTTCGAGACGGAAAAAAATTTGGGTTGCTTGAGGGGGAGGGGGGGGTAGTGGAATTCTGGACATTATGAAGACTCGTGTTAAATTATATACTCATTTTGAACACGTTTTGACTCTACACGTAAAACTTTGCTAAAAAATGGGATACTGACACGTGACTTCATGAATTTAAAAACCAAGGAAGATATTTTTTTTTTTTTAAACAAAATGAACCTCCTGATTAATAAACGGACATAAGTTTAGGTTGACTCTAACTGACACGAAAATCTTACATTTAAGATAGAACCACTTAAACATTACACCATTCTTACATAATGGAATGGTCGTTTTTTTAAAAATTATTTATATTTTAAATTTTCATAAGAATTTACTATAAAACATTCATAGGTCCTTCTATGCATTGATAGGTCCTTCTATGCATTGATAGGTCCTTCTATGCATTGATAGGTCCTTCTATGCATTGATAGGTCCTTCTATGCATTGATAGGTCCTTCTATGCATTGATAGGTCCTTCTATGCATTGATAGGTCCTTCTATGCATTGATAGGTCCTTCTATGCATTGATAGGTCCTTCTATGCATTGATAGGTCCTTCTATGCATTGATAGGTCCTTCTATGCATTGATAGGTCCTTCTATGCATTGATAGGTCCTTCTATGCATTGATAGGTCCTTCTATGCATTGATAGGTCCTTCTATGCATTGATAGGTCCTTCTATGCTGTTCAGAAAAATAATGGGTCACTTTCTTATGTTTTGAAAACGAGCAGATCTCAAACAGTTGTGCACGCAGTACCGTTTACCTCAAGGGATGTACCCTAGTCCGGACGACTGCTCGTCTTTCCTCGAATGTGGTCAAGCTGTCTCAGAGGTCAACACCTGCCCGGCGGGTTTTCAGTTCAATTCCAGAGCGAGGACCTGTGACCAGACGAGTGCCGTCGACTGCAGGGATAATTATTACTTTAGCTTTGAGACTGTGGCGACTGTATGAAGGCTAAAAATAGCAACGGAAACAGTTTGATGACATCACTTGTCTCCTGGCACAAACAAAATTATCGTTTTTAAATTTAAAAAAAAATAAAAAATCTTTGTTTTTGTATATATAGAAATAAAATATGATTATCGAATTTCTGATTAAAGTTGTGTGCGTATTGAGAAACATCGAACTGTTGTTATTCTATTGATTTTTATCCACTAATGTTTTATAGTATAATCAATTGAATTCATTTATACATTATACACTGTAAAGACCTAATAGAAAAACTTCAGTAAATCTTCAAAGGCGAAGTGTTTTGGTTTTAATATTTTGTTACTTGAGTTTGTGATCAGTGGTCATTGCTGTGTTAATTAGAAATGATGCTGTAAGGATTAAATGGACTTGTTTTCCCAAAGTAAATATCCCGAGATGTCCCACGATAGTGATTTAAAAAATGTTATTCTCGAATAAAAATAGGGGAAGGAATAGAAGTAATAATTTTATAGTACATTTTACAAGTTATGTCCCGTACAATCCTTTTTTTTTTGTCCTTATATATAATTTCTTTTTTACAATACATTTTTAATGACACTAATTCGAGTCAAGACCTCCACTAATTTATATAATTATATTTAATACAAATAATATGTTGTTCGTTCGTCAGTCGGGAGTCGACCATGACCACTTTAATCATCAGAGTTTGTGCTGGTTCTGTCTGTGGGTGCGCAGATGGCTGATGAGACCGATTCTGGCAAGAAATTCTCTTGTGCAGTAGGTGCAGGGGAAATGATGGGGCATCTCCGGGAGCAGAGTCAGTCATGTTGCATGGAGCTCCTGTGTGAAGTGGAACGCCATGATGTTCGATCCTTTGCTGTTTCCTCCACCGTGTCTGGGTTTATATCGAACGCTTGAGGTGAGGTTTTCAGGTTGACTTTAAAACATTTCTTTTGCCCCCCCCCCCCCAACCTTATAAATTAGTCATGTTGGATGGAGGTCCTGTGTGAAATGGAACGCCATGATGTTCTATCCTTTGCTGTTTCCTCCCCCGTGTTTGGGTTTATATCGAACGCTTGAAGTGAGGTTTTCAGGTTGACTTTAAAACATTTCTTTTGCCCCCCCCCCCCCAAGCGTATTAATATATGTAAATATATACACGTAAAAAAATGAATATAAGTAAAAGGTGTTCTTTAGTTAAATAAAATGTATAAGACGTAAACTTGACGCTTTCAAATATGTAATCATATTTGTTTCATATAAATACAATTTCTTTTTTACTTTACAACAAACGTGGGAGGCTATAAGCTGAGATGGCATGGCGTTAATGTTGCATTATTGGTCTGGTTTTAAAAGAATAGCAAAATCACTTTTTCCAGTTTTCTGCAAAAATAATGCATCGCATTCTTAGCCACTGGAGAACATATTCAATGGGCCATGCATTCATTGGGACACCAATTCATGGGGGGCCATCCGTTCATTGGGCCATCCATTTGTTGGGCCATCCATTCATTTGGGCCATCCGTTCATTGTGCCGTCCATTCATCGCACCATCCATTCACTGGGCCATCAATTCATTGGGTGATCCTTTCAATGGGCCATCAATTCATTGGGCCATCCATTCATTGGCCCATCCATTCATTTGGCCATCCGTAGCTCAGAAATAGATTATGGCTGTTACAGTTAGACCACTTGTTTTAATAACGTGAGTCCTAAACGGGAAGTCTTGAGCCTTGTGAAACACATCGAACCAAAACTCAAATCTAAAGCTCTTACATCAACGACTCAGGTCTACGATTGTTTAAACGCTTTCATAAGTCAGAGAAAGACTCATGGAACCAATTTTATATCGATATTTTTATAACATAATCGTTCCACACCCACGAAGAATATGTACCAGGTAAGGGGCCTAGAATAGATTTCTTTATCAAGCTCTCTTAACAAAAAACAAGAAAAATAAAAGGTTTATTTTACTTTCATTGATTACGTCAGTGACGTAACTCTCCACCATTGCACACCCTCTCCCCACCCCACCTCCCCCCCAAAAAAATAAATCATTTCATGTAAGTGTTCAGTAATCGAAGCATCGGTGCTGGGAAGGTGGTGTTGACCTGACAAAACTCCGGAAGTTTATCCCAGACCGCAGATTCATCGCCAGTATTTTCAGGTTTGAAATGTTTTAGTTGCTCACCATCTCCCCGTCAATGGCGAGCTTTCCACATCAGAGCCCTCTGGTGGTTCATATAACTGCAATGTCGTGACGAGCCGACCCCCCAGCCCCACCCCCCCCCCCCACGCTGACCAAAGAAGAGGCTCAAATGGAAACCGTTGGATGGGCGAGAGACGTTTCATTGCAGTAAATACCTGCTTGTCCAGGTCGCCGAGCAAAGGTTAATGGCTGTTATAGATTTATTGGAAATCTTTACCCCCTTTTCGCAGGGCCGGTGTAAATGTATATTTGAGGAGGAACGGGGTAACAGATTTGTTGAGTTTGCAAATGGCAATCTCACGAAGTGAGGGTATGGTGCGGGTGGGTGGGGGGGGGGCTGGTGGGGTAAGGGTGGAGAGAGCTATACCAACAGGCAGCACGCAGTGGTTCTAAAATTATTCAAACGCAAGCCTACTTCCTAAGAGTCATATTTGTTAAACAAGGCATAAACGCTCGATAACTGCTTCTAGAATTATTGGTCTTATGTCACGATAAATTGAATTAAGGTACTCAACGGCGCCACGAACAATTTTGGAGGTCAACTTTTACAAATTAAGAATCCCTGTAACACTCAGCTTTCTATAGAAATATGATAACAGACCCAATAAGTGAATTATGTTCAACTGTTTTTTTTTCTGATAAGCCTTCTTTTGTCATTGCAGATTAAGCTGGAAACCAAACCAACAAAGACACTGTTGAGTTTGGAGAATTCTTAAGCCTAAATGTGACTCTGATTTGTGCACCAAAAGAGATGCGCAAGTTTGGATATGTTAGACTTGGTATTGGTCGTTAACGTACAAGAGATAACGGATGGGAAGACAAGAGAGGAAGACCTATGAAGGCGGAATTTGAGAGCTGGATTTTTTTTTTTTAAATAGGAAATACGGAAATAGTTAAAAGAGTTACGGGAATATTGTAAGAGTCCAGAGAAGCCCGGAGGAGACCGGAAGACATGGAAGTTATTTTTAAATGACCTCTGCTCCACTGGGAGTTGAAAAAGCATAAAGTAAAAAAAAAAAAATAGTCTTCTACCAGTCCTCAATTCTATTCATACTAATAATGTTACTTACTGTTTTTGGCTGAGATTCAATCTCTTATAACAATGACTATTATTGTGGCGGCTTGCCTCATCCGGTGGGCATCGCCGTAAATCCTATCTTCAAGGCTGGCCTCTGACCCCCTTCCCACCCCCTGGACAAGCAATCACCAAGTGAGCCACTGTCTTTTCTACCAGGCCACAAAATCGGAAGTTTGGTTCCCTCCTGTCGTCAAGTCTATGGAGGTAATTTCGCTTAACCCCTTCTCAAGGAAGTGGTTTTTCAACCAAGCTGTGACTGCCAGTTGAGTCATTGGTTTGCCAGGTTGCGGCTGGCCCGCGCCTTCTTTGGCCAAAAAGTCCGCCCCGTCGTGCTTCGCCGCCTCTACGTGCCCAGCGATAAACTGCAGGATTTCTTCGGCATGGACGCTACCTACTGTCTCCAAAATTATATCCATACAAATGGTTTGATTTTATAAGCAACCGCTGTGCCTTCAAGAATGACCAAGAGAAGTTCCTTGGGGATTTATCAAACAACTAATTTGGGCAACGCAACCATGAGGGCGCGTGTGAAGTACGGGAAGAGATGCATGATCTTGAATAATAATTCAAGAAGGCGCTGCATATCTCCACCAAAGCGTAGTTGGTATGTTTTCTTGTGTATTCATTTGGTGGTTTCAGAGAAGGAAACTTTGAATTCAAACCCGGAGTTGGAGTCCCGTAAGGCGCATACAGTGACAATTCCTGCAACCGTACCCATCCCTGGTCGTCTTGACGTAGAGTCTTGCCACTGGATATGGTG